TTGTCTTTCTGTTACAAAGGCCAAGTCCCGCTGGGGTGGGGGAAATGCTATCCAAGCGCATCATAACTCAAATTTGGGGCCATCCCATAAGCTGATTGGTGGGAGGTTAACGACATATAAAGGGAAATACTTCTTCACACAGCAAATAGTTAAACTTTGGAATTCAGTACCATGGGAAGTGGTGATGGCCGCAATCTGGCAGGGCCGTCTTAACGCATGGGCCTGAGGGGCACTTGCCCATGGGCCCCATACTAAACTGTGTATGTTAACCCTTGGAAAATTGGAAAACTTCCAAAATTAACAGTAGTTGTAGTTGTCGTAGGGGCCCCAGTACACTGCTTTGCCCAAGGTCCATAATGCTGTTAAGACGGCCCTTTAAAAGGGGATTGGACAGATTCATGGGGGAGAGGCTGTCAGTGGCTACTAGCCTTGCTGGCTGTGTGCTACCCCTTTACCAGAGGCGTCCTGCCTGCAGACACCAGTTGCTGAGGAGCCTGGGCAGGTGGGGGTCTTGCAGCCATCCTGCTGGAGGGATCCTGTGGGCAGCTGGTTTGCCACAGTGCTGTACTAAATGAACCTTTGGTCTGATCCAGCATGGATTTTTCTACTTGCTTATGTACAGTGACCCTTTCTATGCAACACTGCTCTCCTTTGGGATTTTGAATTGCTCCTAACAAAGATCTAAAGCAGGGGTGTGAAGCCTCTCAGTTTGGGGCTGAATTCAGTGCCAGAGGAGCTCTTGTTGCATGAGGCTGAAGGGCAAAGGACACTGGGCCAAAGTGGTGAAAACCAAAATGCCAGCATATTTTAGCTTAAAATGCTTCTTGGCAGTAACTAAATCTTAGGAAAAGCCTGCTAGCCTTTCAACGATTTAGAATGGGGAAGAGCATCACAAAAAACTGAGAAACCACTTAACAACAGGTGGCCAGGGGGAAGGGATGGATTTGGCTCCCAGCCTTGAAGTTTCCCAGGCCTGGCATAAGAAGTGCCTATTATTATAGACTAGGGAGCTAGATTGGCCTCCCGTTTGCAATCTTATTTTTGCCTTTTTCTTCACCTACTTGGCTTTTTGAAAATCTCTTTAATTTAGCTCCTTGTTGGGAGGTGGGATGGGGGGCTTTCCTTGATGCATTTATGTTTGGCATACTTTGCCAGAACTTTACAGATCTGACCCACATTTTTTGCTTATAGGTAGAATTGAAAGAGGCAAAGCCAGGCAAAATCAGCAAGAACTGAGGTGTCCTTGTCATTGACTGGTGTGAGAGGGCCCTTACAGGTAAGTTATCCACAGTCTACTGACCTCATGAGAGGTTACTGGGAATACCAGCAAGTGGAATACAGGAAGGTGACTTCATGCAGGTATTGTCCACACAGAGGTTTTGTTTTGTTTTGTTTTGTTTTGTTTTGTTGTCAGAAGTTGGGTGCACTGATTTATCACAAATGACACACACTGCAGTTGTGCCAATCTGCATGGCTTGAACAGATAGTGAAGCTGCTACTGTGGAATTTTGCACACACAAATGGTACTCACAGAGGGAGGGCCCCTTGCACTTCCCATCAGGTCTTGTAAAGCTGTCCTCTAGATCCCTCCTTAATGGATTTTGTCTCCAGTCTACTGTCCCCTGCTCTTAATGTACGTAAACCTCTAAACCTGGAGGTTTATTCCTTTTGATGCACCAAACAAGGTATGGCAGTGGCAATCGTTGCCGCTGCTAAACCTGGTGCCCTGCATTTCATCTAGGTAGCCATCTCCAGCAGTGAAGTGGTGCAGAAGGGGAGGGAAGGAGACTGGGGCACATTTGAATATGATGTAAGCCATCGGTCCCTGCCTTCTCTCCACCCCTCCAGCACCCTCACCCCTGCAGCCTGCTCCAAGGCCAATCTGCAGCCTCAAAAAGGTGGCCAGCACAATTCCTTCCCTGCCAGCCCTGTATTGCATTTGTGTGGGACGGTTCAGCCTTTGGCGACCCAGAACCAAGATCACAGGGCCTCGGATCTGGGGCTCCAAATAACCATTTGGGATAGCTTCCCAAATGATGTTGAGTAGCCATAGTACTGCCTCCTTTGTATGGTAAGGAAACAAGACAGGAGAAGCTGTGATAGCAAAAGAGCGAGAAAGGGAAAGGGAAGAATATCAAACAAACAAACCAGGAGGGTTATAAATCAAAGATGTCATCTCTCATAAAATTATCTGAATGAGGTAAGGTGATTATACAACCAAAGCCTCATCTGGATGCACCCCAAACCTCCTTCCTTTACCACGGCATTTGTGCCACTTACGGTTTCATACTGCATTCCACAAAACCCTGGAGTTCCTCAACAGCTGACCGGGTTCCTGGATGAGACCTGAAATGGCTCGTGCTTCCCTGAAAGAGAACTTCCCATACTTTGCTGCTCCTGTTAGGTACAACCAGGAGCTGGTAAGACTATCAAAGGCCTCTTTCAGTGCTGTCCCCTTGCTTCATGTGCGGGAATCCACTTGACCTGCACGAACACATCAGAACACTTCCTGCAGTACTATGCAATGTGCATGGGTCCCATAGCCATGTGGAGATTTTCCAAAGCCAGAAGGGTTGACAAGAATTGCACAGACACAGCCTGGGCATTGCTTGGACTCTCGGGCCACTGGAGAGCTTTAGCCCAGGGATATGGCCCTCCAAGATGTTGCTGGACTCCAACACTGACTATTGGTCATGCTGGCTGATGGAAGCTTGAGTTTAATACCATCTGTGCAGGCTGCCTACCCCTGCTTTCTTCTCACCAATTTACCTTTACATCAATTTGCCTGTTCCTAGACTTCAGCACAGGGGCTTCCCCTGCTAATTCTGAAGCAATAACATGATGAGTGGTAGATCGAAACAGTGGTCACAAGCTATTGCTCACTGCTGGACATGTGAACATTTGCAGAGGGCATTCAGGAATATAGAATATTCCTTATTACAGTTACTTGCCTGAGCACAAGAGCTTTCCCAAACAAACATGCCTCAGGACTTTCGAAGATCTAGACTTGGAAAGATGTGGTGGCACTGATTTCAGCTGAGTGCTACCAGCCTTGATCTGTTCTCACTGTAGAAAGGTCCTCCTGAAAGACAAATGGATGTGCTGGTGCTGGTGACCAGCAGGAATGAAAACCGTGATGTTTTGTTTTCATCAAATCCAGCAGGAGGAGGAGGGAGCCGGTGCTGCTGTGAAGCCTGCACACAGCAATGTGCCCTTCAATCTCAGCTCCACCAGTTAATCAAGGGCAAACCTTAATCTGTGATTAAAGCTTTACTTGATTACTCTGCCAATTAAAATGATTAAAGCGTGCTGCCCTAGTCCCCTTCTTAATACATAAATTGGTTATCCACATGGGGGGGCAGGCCTTCCAAAGGAGATATAGGTGGTTGCTAGGCGAAAAACCACCCACGGGTTTCTAGGGGTATTTTGGTTGGACCGCAGGGCAGAATGACTATGTCCCACCTAATCTGTGTTTCAGAGCAGCGACCGACTTGTGGGTCACACATGGTGTTATGGCAACAGTGTGGTTCTCCCCAGTTCTAGGCACGCTTTCTCCCTGTCCTGCTCTCTGTCAGAGTGGAGGGACATTGGTTTGTGAGTGCAGATACTGTCATGTGTGCCCTTTTGCAGAGGACACCCCCCTTTTTGAAGGGCTGCCCAGTCCAAATCTCATTCGACAAGAAAGAACCCTCCCCTGCATGGACTGAGGCTGGCACCCCGGCCTCGTGGCCACAGCCTGCGACATAAGGACCTGTAGCTAGTACACCCATTGAAATGAATGGGCCTGAAATCACATCTGACTAAGGCGCACACACTTCAATGGGCCTTCTCTAACACTGGCTACGATCCTGTGACAAAATGTATTCTACGTACATTTCAATGCTTTGTAAATTTGCACCTGTGAACTTTTCTACACAAAGCATTTCTAGTACACTTGTGACTGATTCATCACCATTGCTAGCAGCTTCTTTCAGTCACCTTGTAATCCCCAGTTTCACATCTGTTGTGCAAGGGTGCTTTCTTGGAAATTCGGGTATTACCTCTGATAGAGTCAATGTGGCACAGTGGTTGGGAAACCTGAGTTCTTGAACACAGCTAGAGGTTATGCAGAAAAACTCTTTGTGTAGAGCTTGGGCCTGAGTTTTGCAATGAAGCTGAAAGCCAGTACAGGATCAATTGCCTCATGTAGAAAAGTGCTGTATGTTCAAACTAGCATATGCAATTATCATGTACATTGCTGCTCTCTTTGGGCATTTCCTCTTTTTTGGCCACTCAGAAGTTGCAGCTCATTGCAATTCAAATGAAGGAGCAACTGAGCCATCTGGCACCTTACCTGCAGTTTGCAGTGATACGTCCTGGACCCTCCTGTAGAAGCTGGGCCTGGCTGGCTAGCGGAAAGGGCTACACCAACATCCTTCCAAACTGCCAGGCATATTGCGTCAGATGCTGTGCTTGGTTCAGGAGGCCTCATATGAATGCCAGGTGGGGACTGGGCGGACATTTCTGAGATGCCACGGAGAACAATCCTCAGAAAATCAGCTAGCCTATCACTGGAACTCCCCCGCCAGGAGCCAGCAGAAGCAAGAGAGAGATGTTGATCATTCTCAGGTGAGAGATCTCTCCACAGTCGTGGCCCAAGGAGGCAAAAAGCCACCAAAAGTTATAAGTGTGCCATTTCTCCTGGGGAAGAGTGCCAAGACAGCCAACACAGAAACAGCTCTGTTGATTGCCAAACTTTCAGTTGTAACTGGCTCCCACTCTCCCAGGCAGGGAAGGGCCTTTCTCAGCACCTGCTACCTGGTCCTTTTTCCTTTTCAACAGGAGATGCCAGGGATGGAACAAGCAGAATGCCTCCTGCATTTCAGTCCCTCCCCATAACATACAATCTCGAATGTCCAATGGTTGGCAAAAGGAAAATTGATTTTGGTTTAGGGACACAGTGGTCCCAACAAGAACATACATTATATTGGCCTCCCCAAGCATAATCAGTCCAAGCAAGCTCCAATTTCAGCATTTATTTACCATTTTATAATTCTGTTTATATATACATATATATATATATATATAAAAGCCATGGAGAGAGAGAGAAACAGACCTGACAAAAGATAAGGGTACACAGGGCAGGGAGGCTTGGGGGCAGGTTTAAGGGGATGACATCACATTTCAGGAGAAAGAGGACCTTTTAATTTTTTCCCTTATTTCTTTGTGTGTGTGTGTGTGTTTTATTCCAAGCCACCTAAATAGACCAACTAGAAGACTTCAAAACACCAGTCCTAAGACATCTAAAACAAACTCGAGCACAAGGATTTGAAATATTTACAGAACACAGAAAAGGCAGGGTTTATTTTGCGTAGGGTTGCTTCAAAACATTGGAGTACTTTTCTTCTTTTTTTATTATTATTTAAAAAAACATTTTATGCAAAAAAAGCAAGGATATATTTCATCCCTGACAAGCAAGAGAAAAAATAATACATCAGACAGAGGTGGAGATGGGGGTAGGGGCTGATTCAGTGAACAAGAGGCCACTTCTGAAAGAGAACGTGTTGCAAGGCAGCTGCGTGAGATGCATTCAAGAAGCAGGGAGGTCCTTCGGGATATTGTTCATGGGGATATTGGAGGTAGGGAAAAGGGAGGGTGTTTGTGAAATGGTGGGGATTTGGCCCAAGGGAAGGGACCCTTGGTTTTGGTCATCAGAAAAACGTCATGAATTAATGTGGCACCCAAGAGAATGAGAGAGAGAGAGAGACAGAGAGAGACAGAGAGAGAGAGAGAGAGACAGAGAGAGAGCGCATCCAAAGAGGAAAATTCAGCACCAGAAGGGGACAAAGTTCTGCCAGTGGTTTTCAAACTGTATTTCAGGGTAGGCTGAGTCTCTTGGAAGCTTATCAGAGTTTCTTCAGTTAGCAACGGCAGACAAGCTTTTCTGAAGAAACCCCTTTGATTATGACCGACTACGATTATGGATCTTCCTCTGCAATATGCAGCTGCTGGGGCTGTCCTAGCCTACACTTGGTATACAAGGTGTGATCAGTAGGCCTGGCTGGACCAGCCCGTGCACCCATGAACTGAGCCCTGGAACATGTCCCAGCATCCTCTGCCGCAGAAGAGGTCCCTGGCAGATGTGTAAGAGTGCCTTGTGGGAAAAGTGGCTAAGGAGAGAGTTTCCTCGAGGCAGAAAGCTTGAAAGCCAGTGTCCTAAAGGAAGTGCCATGTGGACAAGGCATATTTTGGAAACTAAGCAGAAAAGGGAAGGAGGATTGACAGAGTGGGGCTTGGGAGATTCACCCACAGCACACCTCCACCCACCCGTCCAAGTGGATATGCTAGAGACCTTGCACCCCACTGGCGCAGTCCATGAGAAGAAGTGGGTGAGGGACAGAATCCTTTTAACTTTCCAGCCCTCTAAAACTCATTCCTTTCTCAGAATGGAGCACTGAACATGCAGATTCTGCCTTCTAGTCCTCTCACATGCCTAAGGAGCCATCCTTCTTTTTTCAGAGACAAGCAAAAAGACCCCTTGGCTTCTGGTTCCCAGCGGCCTGTGCTGCTCCACCAGCTATTCAGTCTCCACTCCTGTTCCGGGTGGGGAGGGGAGCAGCACCAACTACTGTCCCCTTCTTAAACATGTACAAATATTAAACATTTTTGGGCCTTGGGAAGGTAGCAGTGCAGGTGGGGGCCATCCGTTCTTTTGGCAATTTTGAACCCTGAGCCCCACAGGCAAAGCGTTGTCTGCATCGACTGAGGCCCAGCCCTTCGGTCTTGCTCTTGCTGGCCCTCATCCCATCCCTCCTGGCCATACACACTCACAGACGTAATTTGGCTGAAGGGGAGCTGACTTTTGGGAGAAGGTGCAGAAATGAGAGACCAGCTTTGCTCAGCACTGGGCAGATAATTTTGGGAAACCCCTGATTTTCTAACCCTCCTTGATTCTGGGGCCAGGGGGGTCAGCTAGTAAACAGAGGGGTGAATTCCCCCAATTACCATTTCCATTTGAAGGAGATTATTTCTTTGTTTCTTCCCTTGGTGAGGTGGGGATTTTCTCTGTGCCCTCCCCCAATAATCCACAGGGAAATCCTCTTCTCCCCAGGGCTGGGGGTATCCTTCAGGGAAACACGCCCTCTTACTCCAGGGCAGTGACCACATTGGTGGGGCTGGTAGCCCCTGAACTGTCATTGCCACCCCCCTCTTTGCCCTTTTGCCCGCTGTACTGGCCAATGAAGGAGCCATCCTCATTGAACTGGACGTCCACACTGCCCCCATAGTCTGCCAAGCTGTCGTCGCTGCCCAGCGCCTTGATATCCCCGTTCAGAGATGGCTGGCTGCTTGTGAAGGGTTTCTCCTCATTATCACTGCAGGAGGAAACAGGTGAGTGGTGAGAAGAGGTGGCCACACAAGCTGCAGTGTGTGAGCTGTCAGGCAAGAGAGCACTCTGAGGGATGCATACAAGTATCCTGGCACGACATGCCAAGGGTGCTCCCAATGAAACGCCGGCCAGATCAGGTGCCTCTGCGTTGTGTGCATGCAAGCGGTGGTGGTAGACTGAGTGGATACAAGCGTGCCCCAGAGGACTTGTTCACACATGATGAATGGCTTTGCCCCTCTGGGAAAGATGCAGAGACACACACAGAAGGGGAGACTCAACTCAGAAGGATGTCTTGCCTGTGACATTTTGCTGCCTGAGGCCAGGAGCAAAGTGCCACCCCGCCCCCCATTCCACATACAGAAGACCACTGGACTGCAAATGAAGCTTGTCTTCAACACTGCCAGTGGGATGCCATCCTTCTGGGCAGCTGGAGGCAGCAGGTAGCTTCAGGGCACAGGGCAAGCTCTATGGTAGAGTCCTCTCCAGCAACCGCTTGCTTCTGCCTCCAGCAACTGTCACCTGAGCTGACTGCTCCTTTGGCCTAAGGAGAGGGCCAGCCCAGACTCCAAGCACTACCAGTCACTTTCACAGGTTTCTTGTGGTAAGAAAAACCAGCTGGAAAAGGTAGAGGGCAAGCATTGGAAGGCTGGGCATGGAAGGCAGCTTCTCTACCTTTCCCAGGCTGCCTTCTAATACCGGCACTATAAAAGCCTCACTTGGAAGCTTACTAGGGTAGCAGATCTGGGGTATCATCATGCCCTGTGGAGCTTCAGTGGTCCTGCCTAATATGTTGAGAGTCATTTAATCTGTTCAACCATTTAAAGAAAGCAAAATTTTATTTTCATTAAAAGAATCCAAAAGGGGCAGATATTTATTGAACGTTTTGCTATTATCTCTCAAGTCCTGGAATAAGAATGGGGAACCAGGTGTTCAAGGATAGGAAATAGGGCAATAGGCCAGAGGGGTGTGGTGGTTAAGAGTGCTGGACTGGGACTCAGAAGAACTGAGCTCTGGCGCCTGCATGGCCATGAAGCTCACTGAATGATCTGGGTTGTGAGGGTTGTTCTGAGGGTAGAATGGAGAGGAGGAGAACCTTGTAAGCTGCCTTGGATTCCTTGCAAGAGGAAGAAAGGCGGGTATAAATGCAATGTAATGAATATACTGAGCAACGCTAAGTATTTGATCCCTGAAGCTTTTACGTGTATTGATAGATTTAGTCCACTACATAATATAAATGTTACAAAGCCTGAAATTTTCACCTACTAAATTTGACAGCAAAATGAAACAATGCCAACTTGATCCACAAAAACCTGCAAGATATATTAGGCATATATTTAATTCCCCAGGAAATTTTGAAAGGTGGTATATCAATATCCCAACTAAATAAATAGGCAGGTCATCTACATTAGGAATTTACTTAAGGCAACTTTTTTGCCTCTTATAGGGTCAAATGGGTCCCATGGGGTTCATCTTACTTACACAGAAAGCATGGGAGAAGGTTTTCTTGTCATCCAAAAAAGCAAATTCCAGGTAGGAGTGCAAATTCCATTCCTCCCCTACTTGATCTCACTGTGATCAGCTGAAGATGGAGGATGGCTGACTGGCAAGAGACCAACAGATACCGATCTCCTGTATCTTTAGTATTATAAAATGTATTCCCTGCTTCTTCTTCTCTTGTAAGGAACTCAAGATGGCTTTCATGGTCCTCCTTGTTCTCTTCCACACATTATCCTCACAACAACCATGTGAGGAAGAGTCAGTGACTGGCCCATAATCTCCCAGTAAGTTTCAGGGCCAAGTGGGGGCTAGAACCCAGGTCGCCCAGACCCCAGCCCAACCCTTTCGCCACATATGCAAATGCTCTGCATACTGATGCTTTTTTTCCAGTGATTCCTAAGTGGCCACCCTAACTGATCAAAGGAAACATGTAGGGGATTTTTTAAAGAGGCCCCATTGCATTAGGCAATGAGTGCACATTTTTTTAAAAATGGGATATTCAAAGGCACATCCCAAACAGCATCATGTAAACATGCCAAGAGGAGAACAAAAATAGACATATCAAACGATGGCCCAGGCAAGCCAAGCATGCTTCACAAAAGAGTAGATGTGGAAACTGGGAAGAGCAAAACCCAGGTAAAGAGGTCCACCTGAGAAGTTCATTTTATGTCTGTGCAAACTGGGCAATAGATGAGTTAGAGCAGGGCTGGAAGTGAGTTAGAGGGGGCTTGTCATGCACCAAGGAAGCCCAAATTTTGTGCTGAGGAAGGCTGAAATCTGCAATCTGCATGAATCCTGCTAGCTCTGCATCTGTTTTTCTTCTACTTTGAAGAAAGCAATCATGCCACTGGAAGGGGCAATGTGTTGTGCAGACTGCTGAAGCCCAGCCTCCTGGGCCCCCTTTGGCTGTTTCCCGAGAGAGTGACATAGTCAATTTTGGGGTACAATCCTATTCATTTTTAGCAAAAAAAAGATCTCAAACTACCAACATTCTGACTGGCCGGGCTGGCTAGGAAATGCTGTGGGTTGTGGGACTTCTTGCTGCACAAACTTGCATAGGATTCTACACTTGGTGCAACCTTTTTCATTCAGTTTACAAATGCTAGGAAAACAAGACATCATTTTGGGCTCCCTTGTGCAGAGAGACCAGGTTTACTTCCCTGCCTGGAGTCGCAGGGACGGTGAAAAAGAGAGAAGAAAGTGTGGGGGTTGCGTATTCTGACCCTCCCAGCCCCACCTTCCTCAGGCAACATGCAAATGTGTCCCCCTTCCCGCTTACCTCTCCAAGGACCTGTGTAAGTGGAACGAGACATGGGGTAGTGGAGAGAGAGAAAGAGAACTAGCATCAGATTTTTTAGGCTGTCAGTAGGGGACAAAGAGCAGAAATGTATGCATGCAATTAAAGGGAGAGCGGGGAAAGAAAATTAGGCACTTGGATTTTGACATACAGCTTCCCAAATGACCACCCAGGATATAGTGAATGCAGCACCTAGCCCAGCATGGGCATACCAGGGTCTGCCAGTCCCTTTTCCTTGTATTTTTAAAAAGTGGGGGGACAACAGGTACAGATGCTTATCTTACTGTTTTCTCTTTTTCTGTGAGAAAATTGTGCTTATTCCCAAAAACCAAGCCTGCAGAAGCAAATTCCATTTTATTCCTGCAGCCACAATGGTGTCATGATTTAAGTGAACTTAAAATTAAAAGCTGCACATGCTCTTTTTTTCCCAAATTAGGGTTGGCATACAGCAGGGGTCCTCAAACAGGGGGCCAGTTCACTGTCCCTCAGACTGTTGAGGGGCCGGACTAGTTTGAAAAAAGTATGAATTAATTCCTATGCACACTGCACATTAAAAATTAATTAAAATTATTTAAAAAAATAAAAAATGTTTGCTCTGCTTGCTTGGGCTGCAGAAGCCCAAGATGAGGTGAGGAAGAGCATGTCTATAGTCAAGGGACATGGCTACAATGTCTGCAATAGTGCTGGGGTGGGGGGAAGATGGCCGCCATCGCGGTTGTGCTTGTGCAGGGAAGGTGGGCACGATTGCGGCCATCTTCCCCCCCCAGCACGGCCACGGCCGTTCCTGTCTTCCCTGCACAAGTGTGACCGTGATCACGGCCATCTCCCCACTGAGTATGCCTGCGCTGGCTCAGAGCTTTTGGACTCGCTTTGAGTGAGTCCAAAAGCTCTGAGGCGGGCCAGATAAATCAGCATGGTGGGCTGCATCCAGCCCGCAGACCGTAGTCTGAGGACCCATGGTATACAGGATATTTTGTTATTTGTTTGTTTGTTTTTGTTCCCGTACATCAGGAATGACAAACCATAGAATAGTACCATGTGTGTGATAGCTGTGAGGAAAGAGTAAGGCACAGAAATGTTTGCTTGTGCCTTTCAAGTCCCCTGCCCCATAAGTTCAGGAACTAAAATGCCCCACTGATATTACTTCAGGGCAAGTACCTGGGCAGGCATGCTTAGGTATCTGCAAAGGACCCAGCCCACAGCAGGGGCTTACCGACAAGCCTGCCAGAGTTGCTCCCCTCACCGTCGCCACCTGCTGGTTCAGTGACTCTCACACTGGCCCAGACCATGGAAGTGATGAGAAAGGGCCATAGATGCCACAGCCTACTTGCATCCTGGCAGTCTGCTTGTCCAAATAGGAAAAGCCCAGCTGGGTAAGACTAAGGGTCCATCTTCCTCAGCATTCCACTCACACCATGGTGAAGCAGCTGCCCACAGGAAACCCTCAAGCAGGGCATGAGGGCAACGGCACCCTCCCAGCAAACGGTGTGCTCAGGCACATGGCCTCAGAGATTGCCGAGCCCACTGGATGAGTAGCTCACAATGGCCCCTCTTCCACGACTTGGTTCAGTCTCCTTCCAGAGTCATCTGGAGAGATGGCCGTCTCCACAGCGAGCAAAAGCAGGAGCAGGCAGGCGTGGCTGTGGGCCATGGCATGAGAGGCAGGCTCGCTGAGGAGGGGACTGTTGTAGGTCCTTGCTCAAGGCACTGCAGCATCTAGAAACTGGCAGCGCACCCCTCAAACCATGCTGCCTCATGGCAATGGAACAGCCCACCTTTCCCTTGGGAAAACGCATTGAATGCACAGCACATGTGCACCCCAACCCCAGCCCAGGTCCCTTCCCCCGATGCATCCGGAGAGGCCTCTGCTTTCCCGCCTAGTACCTGTACTCCCCAAAGGTTTCGTCCTTCATGGGCCTGGCTTCTGAATCCACCTGGGTGTCTTCCTTGTCTTTAACTAGAGTAGAAGAGAGCGTATGTTAAATGAGGTGAAAGTGTTGGTGGGCCAGGACCAGCCAGAACAGGGGTTTGGAGTGGGGGATGGGTGAGCCACACCAGGGGTGCTTCCAGAAGAGGGCCAACCTGGGCAAGGTGGGGTGGAAACAGAGAACAGCTGCAGAGTCTCTCCTTTCGAAAGGCTACACACATTCTCTGTGTTAGGGGTGTTAAGAGGCTTTTGGGGAGCTGCCCCACAGCTCTTGTGGCCTTAAGGGTGAGGTGCTTGCCAGGATGTGGCAATGGAGACAGACAAGTTTTTCGGAAAGTTGAAGACAGCATGATGGAGGCACGTGATTGGTTTACAATATGTAGTCTTTCAGACATTGCCAGACTACAAATCCCATCAGCCTAGGTGATACCTGGGACAATGACATCTGTAGTCCAACAACACCAAAAGGGAGACAGGCTCCCCACCCCTGTTATTGGCCCATTGTTTGGGGCATCTTTTTAAAGCATGACCAAGGCAGCTTGGCTACCTCTTTCGGAGAGAAAGGTGGGACCATCCGTGGCTCCATCATGCTATTATCAGTCCTTGAAGGAAAAATCTCACGCCTGCAGTTCCAAGTGCACCAGGGGCAGCAAGGCAGCCCTGTCCCTGTCCCCGGAGAGCTGTCCCAACCACACAAGAAGAAGAGCCAGTTCCCCGGGCAACTTGTGCTGCCCCCGTCTCTGTGCAAGGGAACCTGAAAACTGCCCCGGAAGCCTGAGGAAGGAGTTTTTGCTAACTACATTCCCTGTCTGCCCTGAGGGAAGCCACAGACCAAACGAGCTTAACCTGGTACCACAGGTATGTCCTGCCTTCCAGTCTGCCCCCCGACCGCTCAGCAGCGAGACTTCTCCAGCCAACGTCGGACTGGAGCTTGGGACCGGTGGGCCCACCGCCTAGCGCAGCAGTGGTCTGCGCTAGGTGAATGCTGCCACCAGCTCCCCCATCGCTGAGGCTCCGCTTCTTCTTCTGTAAAATGGGAATGATAACAACCTACCTCACAGGGTTGTTGTGGGGACCAACAGCACCAGGCACACTAACAGCACCATTAAAACTGATAAGTGATAATAGCCTTGGGGGAGCCCATGGGGGTCTGCTGCGAGGTGCTAGGGTGGGGCTGGGGGCACCTCACCCGAGTACTTGCCGCCCTTGCTGCGCTTGATGAAGCAGAGAAGCACCAGGACCAGGATGAGGAGGACAATGGCGCTGACAAAGCCGATGAACCAACTTTCTTTGGCAAAGCTACTCTGATGCTCCGGCTCTGTGGAGGGAAGGACATGCAGGGCATTAAGGGCTGCCAGGCTGGGCCAGGCCTGCCAGCCACCCAGTGGGACCTTCTGACAGCCAGGACATGTTCTTGTTGGAAATGTTGGCAGGCAGGCAGAGAGGAGGAAGGTTCACACAGTAAGCATATCAACAGAGAGCATGCAGTTCCTACCTTGGCAGAGCCACATCAACAGCATTTCAGGATTTGGGGGCTATGTTATGGTTTTTAACTCACCTGCATTCATGCTTTTCTTATAATTTAAAAATATCCAATAACTCTAGCTCTCTGGGTGGTATACAAATAAATTAAAAACATAAAATTAGATAGACAGACAGACAGACCGACAGACAGATAAGCACAGGATAAAACCAAACCAAAGCTAACAGGGGCTAACAACAGTACAAAGGTCTAAAAACACTAGAAGAAATTTCTAATGCTTGGAAAGCCTGGCCTGAAAGACCGCAAGTAATTCTTACTTACAGGCAGTGAAATGGGGGCTTGTGGGGACATTTTGGCAGCTTTATTCTACTTATTTATGTATGCAATGTATGCCCCACCCTTTTGTAAGTGGCCTCAAATGCAGCTTACAATGAAATCAAAGCATTAGAAAACCAGGCAACAAATAAAATTGTGTCTAAGAACCAATAAAACAGCTGGAAATCAACAAGCAGTCACAGCAAGAGCCCAATGGCATCAGCCTGGTGACTCAAAAGCAAATTCTGCTGAGAGCTTGCGAGAACTGAATTGTGTTCACCTGAAGTCTAAAATATTATTTAGCAGGTATGACCAGTGAAATTTGCCTGTGTGTCCCCTTTCCACAGCAAGAAAGGCAGGGAAAGCAAGGCAATGGTGACAGCAGCAAATGAAGATCTCCTACAGAAAATCTCCCCTGTGCTGCAAGGAAAAAAAACCCCTCATGGCTGAGCTAGCACAAATTTAATTTATATCAATTGCTCTCAGATGTGAGATAGTTCCTAAAATTTACTGTCCTGTAATATAAACAAACAGGATCTTCTTGTTCGTTGTCTGTGGCAAGGGGAAACAATGGCGTGCTCCCTTCTTTGTTGCAACCTTAGAAATATTTCAAGGTAGTCATCAAATCCCTGCCTTTCTCGTCTTTTTGAAGCCCTTGAAACAGCCAGCTTGCTGAAGGCTGCCTCCCATGGATCACTTCCCAACAGTCTGAGTCTGACATGTCCGTCTCATCACAGGGAGCCCTTCCTTTCCTCACAGCTACCACATCAAATAACAGCAAACATAAATAATACATCACAAAACCTATTAAAATGCCCAAGAAACTAGAAAGGAGGCAATGCTTAAACAATAAACACAAAGAGAAAGCAATAAAAATGTACTTCTTTGAACACACAACTGGTGGATTGTAAAGGACCAGCTACAAATTGACTCCCTCCCTCCCTCTCATAAACATTTGTTAACATCTTCCTCAGGAACAGTTTAATAAAGCCTTAATAGATCCTTCAGTGTAACACATAATCAGTTCTAAGGCTTCACAGAGCAGGTTTGATCCTAATTTTTTCCTCCTTGAAAAAATAGCATGTAGAAGTAGTGCCTTTCTTACTCCTTCTAGAAAATTTAGGCAACTTGGTGTCTTCCAGTTGTTTCAGGCTACAGTTCCCATAATTCCTGACTATTGGCCATGCTGGCTGGGGCTTATGGGTGTTGCGGTCTGAAACATCTAGAGGGCACCCTTGTTTGAGAAAGCAGGTTAAAATTGGTCTTTCCCTAAAGGCATTTACTTTAGCCAAATTTCCATCTATTATAACTACTGTTTTTAGCAGGATTTTGTCTGCTTTTAATTCTGACTTTGATTTTACTCTTTTACACTGGTAGATATGTCATTGTTTTTAATTTCCCACCCCCATAACTTTGTACCCATTGCTAAGGAGCTGTTATATAAATCTGATTGATTAACAAATGTATCTTACAGGAATGCACAAATGGATGCAGATTTTGCCAAATGCTGACAGAGAAAAGGAGAGACTTAGCCTTGTTACCAGCTGTTAACCAATAGTAAATTTTGGTTTGGCACTGGAGGCTTGCACAGCTGTTGAGGAAGTAAGTTTGGGCATAATTCAAACTAGGGAAATCAGAAAGACCCTCAATAGGCAGGGCTGGTTAAGATTCAAGGCAGACAGAGATCTGAGAAGCTTGTGCACAGAGACTGGGGGAGAGGAAGGGCTGTAACAGGGAGAGAGGAAAGGAGAAACAAATGCTCAGTTCCACCACAGATGCCGAAAACTATGCTTGTGTAGTCAGGGAGAAGAAATCTAAACTAGCTTTCTGCCTGACATGTGATGAGAAGAAACTGGTTCTCGTAGGAAATGAAGTCCAAACAACTTGAGCAATGTAAGTAATGTCAGGATTGTCCAAATGGCTCTGCAAGATGCCAGCCTTATAACCTATCAGACCAAGCTCTGTCACTGGTTTTCCTGTAAACTTTCACTTTCTGTGGACCATCCATTGCAGGGACTGTCTGTGGAAGCAGAAGATGTTCAGGCTTTCAATGTTTTCTAGTCAAATAGGCATGGTGGAAAAGTAAACCATATGTGTGTTCTGAGGAGACAATTAGCACACTTCCTTTAGAAGCCTCAGGATGTGGTAAATCACACCTATCTGTGATAAACCAGAAGGTAGTCTGTGTCTGTTATGTTTTTAATGCAAGATGAAGTCCATTCTGTTGTAAATCAACATCACAGCAAGCAGAAAAATAAGGATTTGTTAACTGGTGTATCTGTGATTGTAGCTTGCATTCTGCAGGAATCGGACAGCTATTTCTTTTAGTATAACCAATGCATGCCACATGAGAAAGGGTCTTCTCTTTGTTGAGAGAGATGCTTATTGCTTTCAGGAGCCTCACGTCTCTCTCTCTCACAATTGCCTGTGTGCATCCTTTATTAAACCTACTTATTTGGAAGAACCTAAATGCAAAGTTCCATTTCTTCAACACCTCTGAACTTAGCCTCTCCATTTCTTAGAATTCAAGCTGATCCAAGAACCACCAGTTATCAGTTAAGGCAAATGGAAGATTTCAAATGTTTCACTATGCACCCCCGCCCCGAATTAACAGATAACAATAACTCAAAACATGACATGATTAGATAAAAGTGAGAAATTCCAGAATGATGACAAAGAAACATTCTGAATAAAAGAAAATCTTAAAGCACCTGTCAAACGTAAAAGAACAAGGAGATAAAACAAGAACTATGCAGTAAGAGTGCAGTCATCTCAGATCTGCTGTATGCAGGGGTAAGAATGGGCTAGAAGCATCCCTCCAGTGACAAAAGGGGGCATATCTGCATCAGGGGCTGTTCAGGTATGTCTACAGAAAGTTCAGCAAGTACAGATCTACCACTGGTGGTATTTCTGTTAATGCTATGCCCTGAAGCAGGGCATTCTGGGGCAAGCTAGAGGTGGGCTTGGACCATCTGGATCCAAAGCCTGTTCATTCCCTTAAAAGAACTCAGGATAGATGCCATTACCTATGACACCTAAAACTATCTGCAAAGACTATTTTCTGGCCACTGAAACCAATGGAGGGCAAACATATATATACAAGCTGACAGACACTGGCAGACACTGGAAGTGGTGGATCATCCACCACTCCATCTCCCACCTGACCATAAAGATGGCTTTAATAGTCAAGATTATTTATATAGCTACCTTGACTGCCAATTTTGTTAGAAAAGCAGGGTACAAATAAACAAAACAGACCATATTAACCTAACAAGAACAACATTCCTAGCTAGGTTGGAGAATATTTGAATTATTTGCCCTGCTTGTTCATAACTTACAAAATGTACTGCTACTGTTGATGGAATCCTGGAATATGCTTTATTTATTTATTTACAACATTTATATGCTGTCCTTTATGATAATTGTCTCAGGACAGCTTACAATGAATAAAAGCAATCAATAAAACAATACAATAAAATAATATATAACCAATAAAATAAATCAAGGCTACTGTAGACTATTAAAATTACTAAGTTTTAAAATGATGTTTAAATAAAAAGGTTTTAACCTGGTGCCAGAAAGAATATAGGCAAATGTTTTAGTACAAACGGGTGCCAGGGGTGGAGCAGACATGTTTCCTGTAGGATCCCTAAAGTTTACCTTTATAAATGTTGCTCCTCCCCACATTTGCTTCATTACTAATTTTTTGTTGTTGTTGTTTTTTCTCACCAGGCTTGCTCCCAGATGATTGCGATGCAATCTTAAACAACTGGGGATCACACCATGAATGTGATGCATTCACAGTGGCAAAGAGTCCAATCAGAGTTGACATCGTGACAAAGTTGGGGCAAACAAATCCAATGCTGAGTGAGGGCGATGGTTCCTGTATCACATTGCACCCATTCTAGAGGGATAAAGGTGACATACAAACTGCTGGGTATATAAACTGCCCAATGCACTCAAAGTACGAGTTATTGTTAGAAGGACTGAATTAAGACTACCATCTGTATCACAAGCAGTCATCAAGAGCACACAGGAAAGGCTATTCTAGCTAGCTGCTTTTCATTTATGGGGTTTGTATTCGCTTGTGGCTCACCAAACCCTTAGGGAGAGACAGCATGCTATATGATACTAAAACTAGAGAGAGAAAATTCTCATAGGGTGTTTAATTGTATTTCAGCATTTTTGAAAGATTTTTTGAAAGTATAGGATGTACCAAATGAACACAACTTTGACATTAGCTTCACAATATAAATTCGAACATTTGCAGATCTTATTAGCAGAGGTCTGGGTACTGGCTTCTTAACTGGGGAAGTGCTTTCGGGTGAGGTTTTCATTATGCAATCACCCTGCCTCACTCATGCAATATTATAAAGGGCCCAAAATATGTCATCTTCCACTGTAATCCTCCTGAGTTTTCCCACTGCTTCTTTTGCTTTTTTCGTATCACAGACCTGGCCTGTTTAAACCACAGCTTGTCATGATGTCTCAGCTTATGAGACAACCACAGGCACCCAGTAAGAGCAGCCAGGAAATGGAAGTATTCTGAAGGCTGGCAAAATTGACAAAAGAGAAAAACCAGAAAGAGGGAAAAACAAAGTGTGGTTTGATTGCTCATCTGCAAGACAATTCATTGCTAGGGCAAACACACCAGGGTTAACATCAAGGTTAAGACTGGCAAGGATTTTTGTCTCCAAATTATTTAAAAATAGCCTCCACAAAATGATGATATTCTTATGTGCCATCAAGTAATCCCTGACTTACAGTATTTCTTCCAAAATGTCCTATTCGTGACATCCCTGCTCAGCTGCTCTAAATTCAAGTCTGTGGTTTCCTTTATGGAGTCCAACTATCTCTTATTTGGTTTCCAACAAAATGATGCCCCTCCTTAAACTGTACTGCTGATACAAAGAACGCTTAGGCTAACCAGGAATGGATTTACATTTTGGTTCTCAGAATAAATTCCCGGGGAAGTTCTTTAATTGCAATTCAAGGAAGGGCAATCCATGACCCTCCAGAACTCCCATCATGCCTAACCACTGGCTCTGCAGGCTAGGGCTGATGGGAGTTGTAGGCTAAAACTCCTGGACTGTCAAAAGCTGCCCACTCCAGTTGTAGGTCTTATGCACAGGGCTCTGGTTAGGGGATCTCAGAGTTCTAGAAAAATCCAAAGTAGATCCTGAAAGCCTGAAGACTACCTGTATCCAGACCTATGCAACACAGTAGTAACAGTGTTTGCTTTTGCTCTTTTTAATGAATTTATTGTACTTGTTGTTGCATTTCTGAAATGAGTCAGCAGTCCACCCTGGCAAAATAAACTATCAACCAAATACAATAAAAGTGCGAGAAAGTCTGAGTGTCCTGAGAGACAGAGATGCAGCAGCAGTGACCCCTCAGTTCACAAGGTCACTCACCCGCCATGCCAGTGGTTTCCAGATCTGTCTCCCAGATGGTTTGATTGCCTCCAGTACGATGTACCTTCACCAGCCGCACGCGATACTGCTTGCCTGGCTGCAGATCTGGGATGCTGTATGAACCCTGACTGGAACTGGCCTTCCCGACATCATGCCAGTCTTCATCCTTATCTATGTAAAATTCAGGAAGAGAGGGGGGAAAGACTGTAGTGTCTTCTCAATTCCCTCTGCTGCCAGTCACCATCTGGGAACTGGGTTCAAACTTGGCTTGCTGATGTAGCCCAAATTCAAAGCAGTCCAAATAGATTTGTATGTGGTCTCTTTTTTTCTTTCAAATGTTTATATAACATAAACATTGATATCTAGGAAGAAGTGGAAGGACAAGGTATTTCCCCTCACCCTCCACTGAAGCTCAAAGACAGGAGTGGACAACTTGAAGCCCTGTGAATGCTCTGGATGCATTGAAGGCCATCGGGTCCAACCCCCCGCTGTTGCAGGACACCAGTTTACAGCATCCCATTCAGATGGCTGCCCAGTTTCTGTTTGGATGTCTCTAGTGTGGGAGAGCCCACCACCTCTCTAGCCAACTGCTTCCACTGTCGTATTGCTCTGACAGTGAGGAAGCTTTTCCTGATATCTAGCCTGAATCTGGTTTGTCACAGCTTGAGTTGATTATTCCGAGTCCTGTACTCTGGTAACAGCAAGAAGAGTTCTTGTTATGTTTGTTACGAAGAGCATCACAGATAATTTCCTCAAAGCTACCTTGCCAGTCCCTTCTGTAGAGAAGGACTGCTTTTGCTGTGAGAACAAAACTGCTTTGTTTTCCAAAGCAGCTTCACCCCCACCCTGTCTTCCAGGAAGTAGAGTGAGAACCTGGATTTGCCAACAGACTCTGACACAGTGGGAGAGAAGAAGCTTACGGCATCCATGGCAAGTGGTGCTGCCTTTTGTCCTTTGTCTGGGAAAAGGAATTTATGCATCATTTATCCAGTCAGCTTTGGAGGACCACGGAACATCCCCTGGCCTATCCAGGGAACCAGTATGATCACAGATAAGGGGACTGAAAGCTTTATTTTTGCTTGTTTAATTCTGCATCCATATTTCATGACTGTATTCAATAAACTGTGTATTAGCTTAGACTCAGGTGGTTTTGTTTCTTCCTAAGCCTTCAATCTAAAGTGAAGTGCCTTGGCTGGACCAAGCCCCCAGGGATCAATACACCATTGGATATGTTTAATTTCTTTTGAGCTGCTTTTTAGGTTTGTTTAGGATTTGAAGGATGAATTTGATTGTGCCATTTATTATATTTTAAACTGTTCTAGATGTGTACATTGCCCTGGGAGTTCATTTTATGAGATGACTAAATTGACAATGGCGATGATGATGAAAACCGTCTGCTCCAGCCTTCCTCATCCTGGTGCCTTCTAGATACTTTGGGTTACAACTTCCAGCATTCCTGACCATTGGCTGGACTGATGGGAGTGGAACTCTAAAACATTCAGAAGGTCCCAGGTTCAGGAAGGCTGCTCTGTGAATAATTGTCCCACTGTAAATGGTGCTGTTGACTATTCGCTTGACAGTCACTTCATATTTGGCTAGTCAGTGCACTTCAATTTCCACTTTGAGAGACAGCCATTGCTGTCATTTCATCTCTGATAACTTGAAATGGGATTAAAAAGCTGTCCAAACAGATCTATACTTTTCACAGTCTACAAATGAAATACTGAATTCATAATCCAAATGTTGGAAGCTGTGTTGGGAAGCTCTGCACCAGTTCTGGGGAATATAGGTTGCAGCTCCTGTTATTCTTCACTATGCTGGCTAGGACTGGTGGGAAATGAAGTCCAACATCTGTACAGCCACATGTTCCTCACTTCTGTTCTATGCTCTTTTTTCCTTTAGATTCCACTTTGTCTGTCTGTCTATTTAAAAAGTTGGCAAACCAACAACAGCCACTCTAATGTGCCTTTTGGGCAGCTTGAAAAGGCTGTCACAGGCTGTTATTTCATGATTGCAAAAAAGCAGTCTCCAAAAATGAAAAGGGGGAAAAGAGGGTAAAAGGCTGCCATGACGACAGAAGGTGTTGCAGTCCACATTGGAGAGACCAAGGTTGTTGCTCCAAAGTAGAGCAGTTGCCACTGGTGCTGGCCAGGCAAGCTTGGCAGGAGTGGCAAGGGGGCTTTGTTGCTCTTGGCAAGTGGTTTGCTCACTGCTTCCTTGAACTCATGATGGGGTCAGTCACTCAGGTTGGACTACAAAGCAACCCATCATGAGAACAATAAGCCATGGAACAAACCATGGCCCATCAAACAAGCCACCCTGTGAGAAGTGGTCTGAGTTCATATGACACAATGGCTAGTGTCCCATGAAGGATTGTCATCTAGTGTGAACTGGGTTAATGTGCATGCGGTTCCCCACATACACATCCCAGATAAGGAAAATGCTACTGTCAGGATCTGGGCAGCTTCAGGGGTCCTCCTGCTAGCCAAATGCCAGAATAACAGTCCTGGTGGTTGCAGGATTAGTCCCAGACTCTACTGCAACTGCCAGGGCCTTCAGCAGCACCACCTGGGAGCCCTGGGGGAAGAGCTATTCAAGAACTGGCTCTTCCCTCCAGAAGCTCCTGCTCTTTGTGCTGTCTTACTGGCTCCTGACGTCTGGCTTGCTTTGACTATGCTCCAGCCATTTGGACTACACTCGGTTTGCTTCCCCGTTCACTCCTGGTTGTGACCTTGGCTTGCTCTGAATATTTGACAGGTGACTGGACTCTGGTCTTATACCTTATGGGCTGTGTTATCCAAGTCCCGGTGCCTCTGTCTAGTGTCCTGCCACCCATGCCCGGGCCTTACAGCTACAACCTCCTTGTGCTTACCAGACTTGCTCATGATACTGATAGTAAACTCCACATCTCGTTGGTTCTGACGTGGGATCCATGTGATGGTGGTGAAGTTTTTCCCTGTTTCACCCAAACTGATGTTCACAAAGGACAGGTACACTGGGCATAAAGGCAGGGAGAAAATGAGGGGAGGAGAGGGGAGGAAGAGAAAGAGATTAATCAACAGTTTAATGCTTACCAGCCCCTTAAGTGTCTATTACAAGAAGCACCACCTGGTGCTCCATAGAGAAGAGCAACACAACCCAGGCAGCACCAAAAGCACCGCACTAGGAGAAGTTCCCTAGGATCCCACCCGTGCATTGCTCTTTTGTCCTTTATACTGAAATTCTGCATGCAGAGGACTATGGATAAATCTGGAATGTGACCTCGAGTCTATGCCATAGACTTTGCAGTCCAGAGAATCATGGGGTTTGGAAGAAGAAGAGGTAAAGGGTAGCTCAAGTGATGTTTGGTCTTCTTCCTCTCTAAGAGTGCTGGATACTCCTGGCCAAGTCCCCAGGCTGGGGACCTGCTGAGAGCTGGGACAGATACGGTGCACAGCTTCCGTGTGGGAGGGCCGAGCATTATTCCCAAACTGGAGGCCCATCACCTCTCACTTAGAAATGGCTTATCACAGGGGACACACTCCTGAATCCATGCAGAGTTTTAAAAACAGGAACAGACACACCATTACCAAAAAGCAAACTGCAAACACGTTGAGGCTTATTCAGAGTTCAGGACCCCCAGCAAGCCCACTTCAACATCTCAGAAAACCAAAACTGCTCTTGCCATGACATTGAAAGAATGAATGCCTTTCTGACAAGTGTAATGAACCTCTTTCAGCCCAAGAAGAGAATTCTACTCTGGAGAAGCTTTTGAGGGGCTGTATGATGGTGGTGGACAGGAACAGAAGGCAAAAGAGGCTGGGCAAAAACATCAAATGTATCTGCATATTTTAGCCTAAAGTCTGGAGCCTGGCAGAGGCATTTCAGTGTGCCAACTGCCTGCCCTCCCACATTTCACTCCCTGATTTTTGCTGCCAAGGAAGGAGCAGATCCCTCTTTCCAAAACTCTGAATTGAGCATGCACAAAAGCATTGGGAATCAGGCCAAAAGCCACATGAAATTAGACCAAGGGCTACTCTTGCAGTAGAGCAGCCCCTCGCTCTTTCCTGCTCTAGGCCAACAGGTTTTGTTAGTTTCTTCCAAGCTTCCTGACTTCTGGGGCCATCTTCCCCCTGGAGGATTCTGGGGCATGGTTAAGGCTGCTGTACATTGTACTGGCTGTCCCAGCTTGTTCTCGCCTCTGTAGACTTGTGTGAACAGAGAATACAGTGTGGAATATACTGACTCCTCCCTACATTTTCATTTTGGGGGGGGGGGCAAGGTGTACTTCAGAAAAACATGTCTGCTGTTACTGATCCTTTTTGAGGAACCCCTGAGAAGCTTTCAGGGGTTGGGGGCAGGGCAGGAGGGAGCCAATCACAAGTTATTATGCAGTGATTCCATCTTTACCCTCCTTAAAGGATTTTCTGTGGTAAGAAAAATGGTAGGAGTAGTGGTGGAAAAACATAGGAGGGTTGCAAATGAAAGACAGCATCTTTGGATGCCCCCATAAAAATCCACAAAAGGGCAGGTAGCTGACCTCATCTGAAGCACCCAAAGTTACCACTTAAGACCAGATTCTGATCACTGTAGCTGTTATATTTTTAAGGGGGAATCTTCCTTGCTTATGCATTTAGCTAGTTATCCTTCCATCTACCTATTCATTTATATTTCTTGGCAGCCTTTCCAGGCAGAGGCCCTCACAAGGGAGTTTTCAACAATAAAACCTGTAAAACTGAAAAGTGATAAAAAGCTAAACATGATTAAAACAGCAGCAAAATGCAACATGCCCACCTCAACACCTCTGTTTGTTCAGAGGCATGAGCCTCAGTGCTTCCCCATCACCATCAAGACTGCTCCTGTCCTTTTAAACAGCATTTTCTTTTCAAATATGTCCCCCTCCCTCTGTGTTTAACTCCCTTGATGAGGAATGTGGAACTTGCTTGTTTATACTCTACTTCATGCGTCCACATATTTGTTATTGGTTTGGTTCTTGTGCCCCTGCCTGGATTTTCTTTTCTAATGGGCCGCCTTGGTGAGTTGTTGCTGATCCAAGAAAACAGAAGTTCATCCAGTTAAGAAAGGCAGCCCAGCCCATCTAGCGGTCCTTGTGGGAGGGTGTTATTTGTGCGAGGCATCACTTACCTGACTCGCGCATGGCATGCTCCTCCAGGACAAAAGGATCCCCCGCCCCCTCTTTGGTTTCTGCCCACAAGTAGAACTTGTAGGGGGTATAGGGGTCAAGGTTGCTGAGGTTGAGGGTGAGCTGGTCGGATGGAATCACAATGTTGCTGCTGATCAAGCCCACTTCCGTCTGGTTGACTGTCTGGTTGGCTGGACACAGAGGGAAAAGAGGATGAGCAGCTTAAGGACTGCACTTCCCAGCGCCCACCCTGCAATCCAGTGCAAAGCCACTGCAGGGTAGGCAGTATTCAGCTAACTGATCTGAAGGTTTTTCAGCAGAACAGCAGAGCATGTGCTTAAATATTCACACCAGTGAAGGCTAGGGTGGGAGGGACTCTTTGTCAGCAGGCATCACAATTCCTTCTTCCCTGCCTCTTTATTTATTTATATTCTGCTCTCCATTTGCAAGGAATTCATGGACTTCCTCCTCCTCTGCAGTTTATCCTCACAGCAACCCTGTGAGGCAGGTGAGACTGGGAGTCAATATCTGTTGGCCCCATGGCTGAGCAGGGACTGGAACCCTGATCACTCCAGTCCCAGACCAACACACTCACCACTACACCACACTGGTGTTTTTCCACTCCAATCTTCTCCCTTCCAAAGCTGTTTCTTGTCTAACAGGAGCAGCTGTGCATGCACTGCCATATATTCTGTGGCTCCCCCTGCCTGAGCCCTTTTCAAAATTTAGTTTTGCTTGGATTGTGCCTGCAGGTTTTAAACTGCAAGCAGATAAATGAAGAAGAAACAGGGCAATGTGATCACACTTAACAACATACTCCTATACAGTTCTGCTGAAAAGCAAGTCCTGTTGAGTTCATTGTGGTTTACTCCCAGTAATTTAGAGGACTGCAGCCCCCAGCGACACTATTCATAATGCTTGCTGGGAGTAAGCCCCATCGAACTCAGTGGGGCTTATTTGTGAGGAAAACGGCATGGGGTTGGGCTGGAAACATCGTATCATGGAATCACAGAGTTGGAAGGGACCCTGGAGTTAACAGTGATGGGCAACACACAGGCTCCAGAATGTAGGTGTTCCAGTCCATCTCCCCCCAAATTATGCCAGTGATACAGTGGCAGAAGCAAAGATGCATTTTCTCTTTATAGCAAGGTGCATGGTGAATTCGTGACTTGTTCTAATGACAAATTGTGTTCTTCCAGGCTTCCTTCTACCACTCTGAAACACAAACTTTTGGGGGCATTTATCTGCAAAAGCAGACACACCATTTTATTGGCTAAGACTTTTCTGAGTAGTTCGTTTGCATGGGAACTGAGATCCCAGCAACATTGTGCCCTTTCTTTAAAGACTCCATCACAATTCTCTCTCTCTCTCTCTCTCTCTCTCTCTCTCTCTCACTCACACACACACACACACACACACACACACACACACACACACACTTCCCCTACCCCCAGCCTTTGCTTTAAAAAACAAGAAACCCTGCCACAGACTCACCTTGCTGGTAGGTCAACATATATTTCAGTAATTTCCCATTGGGGAATTTTGGGGGCTTCCATTCCAGGATCAATTCTGTTTCAGAGAGGTAGTCCAAGTGAAAGGATTCTGGAAGGCTAGGGACTGTGGAAGGAGGCAAAGAGAGAGAGAAGAGTGGAGAGTGAAAGAAATGAGAGGCCTGTTTGGGCAGGAGTGGCTCACAAGGGATGGTGTGAGGAGAAGCGTGCATTTCCTCATCTAGGAGGTTACTTTGGGCTAAACTCTGAAGGTGGGCAGAAGATATCTCCCTCCCAGGCCAGAGAACAGCCTCTCCCAGTGAGAAGGCACTGCTCAACCAGCCCTTCGCCCACTCTCCCTGCGGGTCTCCAGGGAGCTGAGGCAGTGGCAGAAGAGACTGATGAGTGCTCCCGATACAAGGAAATTGCCCCAAGATCATGGGGTGCTGCCCAGAAGTAATAGAGCAAAGCATGCAGGCAGCAGCAAGCTCTTCTCCCACTTGAGCATGGCCCATGGGTGGGCGTTACTGCCTCCATGGTCCCAAGCCCACTCATTCCCTGGGCTTTGACACAAGTGAAGGAGGGTGCAGAGCAGAGGTAGGATCAAGCTCAGATCAGGCCCAGAGTTTGAACTGGAGATTCTTTCCAAGGTGTGTGAGCCCTGGACAGGTGCCTGGAAGGTTCTGTGTCCACATTTTGGCTTTCAGGAATATTGGACCTTGAAGTGAAGTCTGTCCCTTTTTTGAGCAATGGGGCACCTTGACTCTGGCAAGAAGCCTCCCCTCCTCTGCTTTAAAATCCTCCATCCAAACCATAGCCTTTTGCCTTTGGAGACAGACTGATTTTCTTGTGGAACTGTGAGAGCATCAAGAAGCTGAAGCCAGCTGAGGGACCAGAGGGGCCCGTGTGCAGCTGCAACTGTCATGTCAGTTCTGGATGGAAGATATCCAGGGTGAGCTCTGGAACTGCACTCCCAAGTTCATCGGGTGACCTTGAGCAAGTCATTATTCTCACCATAAAACTGATTGCATAGAGTTGCTGTGAAAATAAAGTGCAATCACCTTATCTTATCTTGCAAAATATTCATCCAGCGCCTTCAGTCCTTATTTGTATGCATAAGGGGAAGGTGTTACTGTCCCAAGCTTTTAGCAGGAAATAAGCATGGGCCATTTCAGAGTTTCTGCTAGGTATCTGCTAGGTTATATGCTGCTTATCTTACTCTGTATTAACTTCCATTCTCACTTGGTTTTAGTTTGTATAAACTAAACTAGTTTTTATCTGACTTGGAGCTATAACTAAATTTAATAAGACACAATTTAAATCATTTTATTTATTTGAAACAACATCCTGGGACATTTGTAATGGATGGGGTAAAATATTGTAAATAAGATAAATAAATAAACAAAGAAACAACACTGATATTCTACCTTCCCACCTAGGGGGAAGGGGTGCATGCATGTCTATAAATGAACAACCAGTAAATTTCGATCTATATTCAAAGCTAAGTGTACCAGCTACACGTAATACCCGGGACATTAACCAGGTATCAGAAGCCAAAATGCTGGGAGTTGTTGTCTGGAGAGGACCAGGCTGGGAACGCCCCACACTCCTCCATGGCTATTTTATAGCAGCTCTGGCTGTGGGTGGAATACGTGGCTCAACAGGGTCGCAAAGAAATCCAACCTGGTGGACTTTCTTGGCCAGGCATTACTCAGGAAACCCAGTTCCTTAATCAGAGGGTTGGTGTTTGTTTCTTTCCAAACAGAATTCTCCTGGACTCCTCTTTTAATAATACAAATGATTTTACTTACTTATTTTATCCTGAAGATAATTATGCTATTTAAAAAGAATGAAAATGAAAACCGGAGTAATATCAGAAATGTGTGAAACATGTAAGCCTGCATGGAGCGCATGTGGATCAGATTTCCTTTTGTTTTATAAAGCCACCCGCCCACCCACAGTGCGCGGCAGAAGCCAGAGCTCTCAGGAGACTAACATGGGAAGCATCTGCTCCTGGAGGAGGAGGAGAGCTCATGAACCGGTGCGCACTGCACACAGGGTGGGGAGGGAAGGGTAAGGTCCGGGGGGAGCAGTTCAAGGTTCTTACCTCCCTCAGGTGTGTTAAATGTTATGGCCTCGCTGCGGGGCCCCTCCCCCCGCCCATTGAGCACAGACATCTGCACCCGGTACTGGCTCCAGGGCCTGAAGCCCCCCAGAGTGACTTCGGACACATTCCCCTCAATCAGGAGCTGGCCATGAGAGTGGGAGTGAAGATGGGTTTGTCGACGGCTACGCTCTGACATGGTTCCCAACCGGAAGTAATGGATCTGGTAGAAGAGAAAGGGGGAGAGAGGGTAGAGTCATTATTTACCCCCAATTCCATGATGCTTCTCTCCACCCATACATTCACCATTGTTTAATTCCAGCTGCCCTTGTGCTAGATTCCTCTGAACATGTGCAGAATTTATCTGTTTATTTATGACGTATTGTGTGTGTAATATTATATATTTATTATATATATTATATATTCTAATATATTACATATTCCAATATATATATTATGCTAATATTATACTATCATTAATATTATATCACAATGTATATAATATAACTTATATTCCAATTTATTAGCCCAAAGGCTCTCTAAGCAGAGAATGCCTCACGGCCCCCATATCCCTCCGAGAAATACCCCTGAGCATGTGAAAATGAGCGCTGCAGTGGAAGCAGGTCTCACATGTGCACGACATCAGCAGGGACTCTGACATTGCCAGCCAGCCCTCAGGTGCTGCTGTTCTCTCTGAACCGACCTGCCGGTCACACAATTGCTGGTGGGATTCGAGCCGGATGACCAATGAGGCTCCCCAGCTGACAAGAAGGCCTGCCTGCACTGCTAGAGCTGAAAACTGCTAAGGAGGGTTTGCTGCTGCTATGGATCAAGACAGCTGCCTGCATTTTGGCCTCCTCTTGAGGGTGGGGCAAAGGGGACAGCCATGACGGCGGCCTGCATTTCAAAATGGATGACCACACCACTGATCAAGAGTGCGCTTTCCCCATCTCATGCCAGCGTTTGTGAAAATTCTGCAGAAGTCCATCATGCCAGCCAATGCAGTTGGTATGGCACAAAAGGTCATATACACTAAGGTTATGTCAGCACTGCAGGCAAAGCAGCAGGATAGGAGATGTCCCACAAAAAGCAGGGAGGCAACAACAGATGCATTCAATGCACCAGAAGGATGACATTTTGGCCTGCCAGCAAGCTGAACCTGTCTCCCCACCACTCCACCCCACCCTGTGCCAGCAACCATACTACAGCAATTCTGCAGCAAGGAAGTCAAACATTTGCACCACAAACAGCCACGCACGTTACGATAATTGCAGACTTTTCATAGTTTCTCTTACTTGGCAAAACTTATTCTGCAACAGTTTACTATTTTGCACCATTTATTCCTGCTACAAATGGAATTGTAGGGTGCCTTGGAAATTCAAACAGGGGGACATAAATTTATTCTGTCAGCATTGCATAAATAAATAAACTGACACCCAACAGGCCCCTGCAAAGGCAGTCCTTCCGGCTCCTGAGTGACTATATTCTTCCTTACCCAGAATCCTTTGAGGTGGCCCAACACCTTCTCTTTGTTCAGCAGCATCCAGGACAGTTTGACAGTGGTGCTGTTTATTACCACAACTAGAATGTTCTCAGGCACGGCCTGTGGGACTGGAGAGGAAGAGAGGCACTCCTTGCGGTCACAGTGTTAAGATTGGAAAGGAGGTGAGTGCGAACAGGGGAGGGTTTAGGCCTGGCCATTCAGGCAAGGGAGGCGATGCTGCCTCCAGGGATACCAGACTCTGAACCACAGAAGGAAATGGAAGAGGTGCTGATCCTTCAGTGGGGGAATCCAAGTTTGACCATCAGACAATATGCTTTTTCAGACCAGTAAGTGCCAGGTCTGGGTTCTGGGGTGAAACACCAGCAAAGGTTCCCCTCCTCAGTGAGTCGGCCATCTTCCCCACTCCCTGCTGCTATCACTCGACATCCTCTTGCTCCTCATTGCTGCCACTCGCTTGCTTGGCAGGCAGGCAGGCAGAGAGTGAGGAGGCCATGGCATCTACCAGCTGCCTCCTGACCACCTCTGGTCTCAGAGGGAGGGGCAAATGGACCCAAGGGCTGCAAAGGTGAAGAGGAGGAGCAGCTCCAGGCACCTTTTCTCAGGGGGACTCGGCTGGGAAGCGGACCCTCGGCAGATGCCCAACCATGCCTAACCGGGGACCATCCAAAAAGATCACAAAATCACCCAAGATTTCCTGAATGCTTCATAAGGCTGGATGTCAAGAAACATGGTGGGAGAGCGTGTGGAAAAAGTGACCCCCACCAATCAAGTGTAGCACTGAGAGCAGTGACTGCTGCAGAGGGCTCCTCTGAGCACAGGCAATGCAGATGCATCCCTTGTCACCCATCAGAGAGAAGGGTGCTCTGGCTTTCATAAACATGGGGGAAGCGTATCTGGCTCAAGAGCAAGCATTTCTTAATCCCAGAGCTCTTGCACGTGCAGAGGTGCTTTATGGTCACAATGGAGTTGGGGAAGGGGGTATGGGGAGTATGGCTAGATGAGTGACATTCTACTGACGCCTAACTTCCATTGTTCAAATACCAAAAATGGAGCTGAGAGTGGCAGCACACCTTCTTGGTCGCCCACATGTGCTGGCACTGAAATAGGCCATGTTAAATCCATGCTTATAACATCAGAGGCTGCATGCTCCAAAATCTTCCTAGAGAGTTCAGGCAGAACTGGTCTCCACCTCTCTTCACCTACTCACTTGTCATAAGCAAACATTCAGGTGCTAAGATTCTGTTCTTTAAGGAGCAGTATTAAAATATGATATAATTTTAAAATGGGTTCCACTGGCTTTTGTCTTTTTTTCAAAGTGTTCTTACTTCTCCAGAGCCATTTTTTCCCCTCCACATCCCCCCTGCTCACATCCTGCTACACAAAGGAAATGTAAAAAGAAAAAGCACCATTGCTTTAGGGCCTGCTATCTATCCCAACCTGGACCAGTGCCCCACATGCCCACACAAGAGTAAACAAAAAGGTTATGATCACCCAAAGGCTGCATGCAGTGCAACCCACAGTCAGCATGATGCAGCCACCAGCAATGGGGCAATGTATCCACTTCAGCTTCAGCCTGAACCTTAAGTTGCTATCTACGGAGCAAACTCTTAGAGACATGATACAGCATTGCCATATGTTTTTGGAAGGAGATTATTATATGGATAAAGTTGGTATTAGAAAACTCATTAACACTTGTGAACATTCATGTTCTGTTCTGTTCCATATTCACTTCTTGGAATCTAATGCAAGGTCAACATAAATGGATTTTCCATGCCCTTACTAAATGACTAATGTTACAGCACTGGAAAGATAAACAGCCACCACTGATAATACAAAGGAAGGAGGCCCTGTTTACTCCTTCAGCCACTGAATGGGGTGTGGTATTTAGATGCCACCTATGCATGCATAGATGTAGGGGTACCTGGTTTGCCTTTGAAGCCTATGGGTAAGTATACTACTGACAGCAGCATGTTTCCTTGTAACATGTAATACACAGACACATGCATTTCATATGCATTGCTTGTGGCTGATATACCTAAATTTTATGCATTGTAAGCAATATCTTATTTTTTATGCATTCTTTATCATTCTTGGTTTTGTTATAACCTCATAACAGAAAAACTATTTGAAAAAGGAGGGAGATATCCATGGTGTTGGACCTATTTTGAGACTAGACTTTCACAACATGGACAGTTCCTCAAAAGTTCAGACTCAAACACAGTCCGACACTGGAGTCACCAGCCTCTCCTGCGTGCCACAACCACCCCCCCCCTCCAGTTTGGTCTACAGTAATTCCTAGACAGGGCATTCTTCACCCTCATGACTCACCATCCTCCCCGGAATAGCCACGTCTGGCAAGAGGTTCAGGTCCTTTGCCAAAGTCATTACGTGCCTGCACCTTGATCTCGAAGGGTGAGAAGACAGGGGTGTCTGTCACCACGACAGGGGGGCCTTCAACTTCTGTCTCATTCCACTGTGCTTCGTTTTCTAACCGCCATTGGACATGGTATCTCAGTGAAGCGGCATGCCATTCTCTGGGGGGCAACGGCTGAAAGGTGAAGGGAGGAGAAGAGGAACAAGAAACGAGAAGTAGTCATGCTTGGCATCAGAACAGCCTTGCCAGATCACAGGCAGAAAGTGCTAATACTTTTGAAAAAGTCCACACAAAAGTGTGTGCACTGACCCAAACCAGTGCAGACACAGGATAGAATGAACTTAGCACCAGAAGGAGAAAGACTGAGTGAAATGAGCTTGATAGAATTGCCCCTGCCTTTTATGCACACACACCTCATTGTATTTAAATCTCCTCCCCCTCCCTGCTGAGATCAATGGGACAGTGTTTTTATGGGGGGGGGGGTGTCAAGGGGATTCAGAAAGCTGTTTGTTCACTGCTATTAGCAAAGATAACGGCAATTTCTATATTAGAATCACAAGAGAGACTTAAACTTCACTCTTCTCCTAACAATCCAGCAGGAGAGAAAAAGCAATTTGCTCCCTACATGCCAGTAGATGACACATCTTCTGGGTGGCAGGACAAAGCAGGCAGGGAAGACCTGCAGAGAATAGTGAAGGGTTGCAGGTTGCTTAAAAGTGGTCTAGTCCAGGGGTGGGCACAAAGTAGAACTCCAGATATTTGGGACTTCTGCTTCAGTGAAGCCCACAGCGTAAGGGAATGCCCACAAAATCCAGTGGGTCTTCAGAGACTTCCTATTGACCTGCAAAGGAGCTGGCAATCCCCTGATGGAATCTGATTCCAGCAGCATGGAGTCTCCTCTGAAAAGGCCTTCTCCCAATTCTAACCCCAAAGCATGGGAAGGCTAGAACGGGAGAATGCAGTGCTTCAAGTAATTTGGGCCCAAACCATTCAAGGCTTTAAAGGTTAAAATCAGCACTTTACATTGTTTTGTGTCCTAAATCAGTTGCAATGGATGCGACTAGCATTCCTCTTCTTCCCCCCATCCCAATGCTATTTAATATTTTACAACTTCTTCTGTATTTCTGATACGTTACAGCAAAAACAACAGTTTGTCAACCCTGATATGAAAGAAAGACAGGTTCTGAGCATGTCATTTTGCATTTTTAAGCTCATGGCACCATCATGACCACGAAAATATGGAGGATGCTTTGGTGATCAGAAAGAGTCCCAGTGGGCACTGGCCTGCCCATGACACTAGGGCTGCTTGTGCTTCCTCTTCCCCTGCTGCTCCCTGGGTGATCAAGAGAGGGGTTGTGTTGCAGCATCCCAGATTTCTGCCCTGAAGAAGCACCCTCACTGCATCACTGACCTCGCCTTCCATTTGTTAAATGTGAGGGTAAATGCTCACTCTCCAGGTTGTAACTCTGGAGAAGGAAAAGGAAGCGCTGTACTTCCCTGCTCCCCTCTTAAAGGCCCAGGGGAGCCTTGAGAAACCCAGGTAGGTTCACCATCTCTGTCCCAGCTCAGAAGGCCGGCCACAGGCTCAAGAAACAACGAGGGAACCTGGCATCACAGGTCCTGCAATTCCCAAAGGGTCCAACAGGGGGAGGCTCGGACAGGGAAGACTGTGGCCAAGGCAAAAGTGAGCAAAGGTCCAGTAAAGCTGCTTTCACTCCAGAGCCTGGCAGAGTTGAGACAGCTGCCACCTTTGTCCACTGGGCCTGCCCAGCTGACAGACCAGCAAATGTTTCAAGCTATAGAAGGATATAAGATGGGGTATTTTTTTTAAAGCAACCCCTGTATTATGCTCTTACATGGTCCAAGTCTTTGTGTTAAGATCATATTTAGTGTTTCTCTTCTGTATCAGAAATTTTCCTGCCATTTGAGTGATAAAACAGGTGTATATATTCACTTCTACCACCTGCAGGAAATTTTAGAGATGTTGGTATCTCAAGTTGCTGGTTCTTAGCAGGTGTACTGGTACAGTCACTGCTGCCAATGGAAGCAAACCAATGAGGAATTTCCAGTTAAATGTTTCTGTTCCTTTAACTTCCTTTTGAGACTACAGAATCTGCAATGCCTCTAGATAACTCCCTTAGCTTTTCCTTCCTAATATTACCATGGGTCAAAAGTCCCCTCCCCTGGGAACCCCTCTGGGTTAAAAACATGCAATGATTAAAGGTTTTCACCACTATCACCATTGCTCCTCTAAGACCCCTGATTCAGGAGACAAAAGCAACAATCACTTCTGACAAAGAGCTCTTATAGTTGAAATGCATCAGGGTAAGAGAAAATTTGTGTGCTTTTGAAAATAAGCCTTCTCCTTCAGCACCCCGAGATTTGCCATTTCTATCCACTGTGCACTGAGGGTGCTGAGAAAGCAGGACCAGTGTTATTTTTTTAAGATTCTAACCCTATGCAAAATATACCATGCCATTTGGTCTCTTTGGGGGTTGCCCCGCAAATCCCAAAATAGGTCCACCAAGCCTCTTAAACCTATAGAACCTGTGTTGCCACTGCTACACTCTCCATTCCCCACCTCTGTCAAAAGGGTGGCTGGTACCCAGATCTAGTCACCATTTCTGGCTTCACCTACTGTACCAGGGAGACCTTCTGCCTTCCATCACCACACTCAAGATGTTTGCCATGGCTTTCAGGTACATGAATGCATACCACTGAGGTGGATGGAGGGTGATCACCTGGAAAACCTCACAAACTTTTTAGAGGTACATAACAGGCAGAATTTTGAACAGGTGCTAATTTCCTGTTATAACTTATAAGTAATCCTGCAAAAAGCTTCCCTTGCCAACATTTTGCCTACCAAGTATCTCTTAAAGACAGGCATGCCAGAAGGAGTTGCAGTGCTTATTGATGCTTGCTTTGCTGTCTTGTTTCCTGCACAGCAGGAGCAGCCAACTTTTCTGAGGACCAATTTCCCCATCCTGGAATCCAGCAGCAGCCACATACCCTGCCAGGGCCAAGTTGTTACAGGCTTTCAGTGCTGAGGAAAAAAGGAGCATTTTTGCACACAAAATTGTGCTCCTGGAAGCCCCAGGCAGTGGAAATTCACATCAGAACAAGACTGTGTTCTCAGAGCCCCCACGAACAGGCAAAAATAAGAAGAAAAAATGTGACTCCTACCATGCGATTGCTGCTGAAATTTGGCAGCACCTCAGCACTGGGCCACAAAAAAGGACTGAGGTGTGTGCAGACTCTGGGCCACATGATGCTCACTCCTGGCATAGAGGCTCCAGGAGTATTGTGGGAATCCGTCAGGAAGTACAGGAGCAGAGAGTGCTCAGAGGGCCCTTGCCCCGCAACTCTCACATTCAATTTGTGCATCTCCTGCTGCTGGACTACTCAGTCTGCACAAGACACAGGAGAAGGCGGCCAATCAAGGAGGCAGGACCTTGAACTGTGCCACTTCTTGCTGGTGGCAAGAGGTACAATTCTAAACTGCACTTCTTCGACTACAAGGAGAAGGCGTTTCTGTGCTCCCCTAGCATTCCCCAAAATATTCCCTGCATGTCAGAAAGCAAAACTTCAGGGAAAGGACACTGCTGCTAGGTTTTTCTACCTGGTACACTCATTTTCTACATACAAAGATTTATTTTATTGTTCAAACTTGTGAGAGAATTAAAAAATCTCATCACTTTCCATGGGGAGGCCAAAATTATTGTTCTACCACTGCAGTCTACTGCCTTGTTCTCCATAATGGTTAGAACAGCACTAATACGAGGTTATACCAGCATTGCAAACACAGGTAATTCCAAGACAGATGCTTCCTCTGGCTACAGTCACATGAAAATGGAATGTGAAACTGCATGCTAACTTCTCTTAGGGTCAGGAATGAACTGGGAAGACAGCTGATGTCAGACCAGCAGAAACCAACCCTCATCTTCTGTATTTTGGCAGGTTTGGTTTAGCTGAACTTGGTATAAGCCTCCCTGAATGGAAATGCATGGCATCAGCTCACTTCTGGGAACCCAGCCCAAATATCCCAACAGTATGGCAAGCAAAAACATTTGGGGACAGTGCCGGAAGACAAACACACTGCTGTTTGAACACGCTGCTGTTTCCCCTCTGCACTGGAATGCAAACATCACGGCAAACCCAAACACAGAGAAGCTCATAAAAGATGGGAGCAGCATGTGTGAGGTTCATACGCTGCCTTAGCAAGAGCACACTGCTCCTGGCACACATCCTGCAAGCCCCAGGACACATCAGCCAAGAGGCCAGTCGTGCAAGTACAGCAAGGGCAACCCAGTGAACACAGAAAGACCCAGCCAGACATCCAGGGCTCCTCCCTGGATTAAGCTGGACTGCAGAGGCCACTGGAAACTCCTGCCTGGATTAAGTGGGGCACATAAATTGGACTGCAGGGGCCACGTTAAGCCATCTGCAGTAAGAAAAATAATACTCGGGGCTCGTAGAACAGTGTGTCCGTCCAGTGAATTAGCCAACTGCCATGCTAGAGAGGAAAAAAAGGGGGAAACCTCTCAGAATCAAGCTGGTTCTTGAGCTCTCTGACATGAGCAGTGAGGGGGGGGATATTATTCCCAGAGCCCAGGTATACGGATTCAGTGCCTAAGAGTATAAACTGGAGAAAGTCCAGTTCAACTCTCACCCTCAACTCAGTGTGTTCCACCTCCACCATAATAAGAGGATAAGAACCATGGGCCTATCTTATAGGGCTGTTGGAATATAGATAATTGTGCATGCTGGATTTGGACATTTTGATATGTAGATGAGGATGTGTTTTTTTCCTTGTCAATTTGCTTGTTTGCACATCACTTTGACGTTTTGGGAAGTGGCATAAATCCCACATGCAAATAAATAAATAAACAAATAAATCCCAGCATGACTTCCATTCAGATCTTGACATTTGATTGGATTTGCTCCATTGGGGGAATCCGCAGGGGACTTGTCACACTCTGTGTTTAGGTCACCCCATGCTGAGAATGGCCCTTTGTGCTCAGAATTGTTTAGCCAGCGTGTAAGGCAGGCTTTGTGGAAGAGGTGAAACTGCAAAGTGAAGAGTTTGTGATTCTGGTTAATGTGTGTGTTACATGCACACACGCACACAAAGAGAGCAAATGATGTTTCTTGCTCAATAAAGAATCTGAGTGACTGGCTGGGAAAAAGTGGGGGGGAAAGACCCTTTCTTAAGGCTAAACATGTATTATAGCACTTGATGGACACCCACTAGCTACAGAACTCTTCAAACAGCCTTTCTCAATATTTTTCTCCTTCAGATGCTTGAGAATCAACTCCCACCAGCCCAAACAGTATAGTTAGTGGCTTTGCTGGCTCAGGAAGATGGGAGTTGTACACCAACACAACTGAAGTGCTAGCTGCAGGTTGGGGAGGGCTGTCTTAAGGAAGAGGTGCTCTCTCCACTGGAGGCCATGGCACCCACAGACTGCCAGGGGACCATAAGTTGCTCTCTTGGCCTCCATGTTTAAGAAATTTAACTGCTGTCTGCAAAAGTCCCCTGCATACAAATTGCTCTCCAAAATATTTGTGTGCAGTGGACCTGTTTTAAAAAAACTGGTAAGCTGAAATAAATTAACCCAAACTCAGTGAGCTAATGAACTTGTGTGAATAAATCTGAATAACAACAGAATTCTAAAACCACCAGTCACAGATAAACTCAATTAACTGGAAGACCAGGAAACAAGAAGGGCCCTGTCCAAGCCTTGCTTCTGCCACAGGTTACAAGATACATGGCTCAGAAATAGCCCTGGTATGAACTGATATATGTGTGCAAATACAGTTGACCCCAGAAACATCCCTGGCATTTCTGAGCATGAAGATCCTCTTAAACTATGACACCAAGCCTTCTGGATGGCACCAGAAAGGGCTATTCTGTATGTTTATGGGAGCTGACAACTGATCTCTCCTTGTCTGATGACATGGTAAGTGTCCAAATGCATGGTACAGAAGACAACAACAATTTATAGGCATTGCCACAACAACACTGAAATCTTTGCATGAAACTGAGGACACCCATTCTTAATTTACCCTGGTGATTGAAGCGTACTTAGCAGCAATACTATTGACCAGTCTGACTCCTAATTGCACTCCTCTAAATGCTCTCAAAGTGCTCTCTCAATGCCTGTCAAAGGACAGACTGTTCTCAACAGATATATTTTCTACATGGGGCTAGGGCTGGCTCTGTTTCAGAAAGGATCTGGAAACGAATGTTCAACCTCCAACTCTATGTAGAAATGTAAGGCTGCAATCCTATGCACATTCATGTTGGAGTAAAAGTCACTGAAAGAGGGACTTACTTTTGAGTAGGCATACACAGGATTGTACTACAAGGCTGCAATTCCTAAATTCACTTAACTAGGAAGTAAGACCTATTAAACACCATGGGATTTATTTCTCAGTAAAAATAGCCTTGGATTGTGCTGAACACCAGTGAATTTATATAGCAAAGCACACAATAGACTGTACTGAACTACAAGTAACCTAGAACCAGAAGTTGTGGGTTTTTACAACTCCCATCAGCCCCACTTAGCACAGTCAATGGGCAGGGATGATAGGAGCTGTAGACCAAAATATTTGGGGGCTACCAGGCTAAGGAAGGTTGCCCTATAAGGTACAGAGGCAGTTTTGACAATGGCCTAGGTCCATCACCATAAAGTTCACCATAAAGCAGGCTGAGCCACCAAGCTAAATACATTTCACGAAGTCTGCACAGGGGTCCACAGTAAATCTCCCAGATTTGCTGCACACCTGGAACTGCAAAGATGCTCAAGCGCCAGGCAGCCCTCCGTATGTGGCAGGTGGACCCCACTTAGCAAGTCACAAGCTCTGCAGCCTCATTCCAGGCCATGGCAGGCTATAGCAGAAGGCCACACACCAAATGTGGCCATTTCCAGATGTGGCCCTTCCCTTTTTCTGGCTGCCCCAGCTTTCACCAACTGCTCGATCCTTTGCAGCTTTAGTACTCTTTCTTTTAAAGGCTGAAATGCATCTCTTAAGGCTTAGTTACTGTCAGTAGGAGCTTTAAACTAAAATGTTCTAGCATTTGGGGTGGTTTTGGTCCCATTCTCTTGCTGTTGGTCCTGTCCACTGCTGGAATGTGCCTCCCACCCATGGAAGCAGCTCAAAAATTGAATCCAGCCTTTGGGCTAAAAGAGGTTCTGCAACCCTGCATTGCAGCAACACATTCCATCAAATACAAAACAGCTGGCCTCTAAAAACTCCTTGCTCATATGCTCTGCCCAAGCAGAAATGCCCAAATCCAGCTCAGAATTCCATTTCAGGGGATGTTCAGCGGAAGCTCTACCAAGCACTCAACGCTCTGCCACTTGGCCTCACGGAGCATGCCAGGGGCACAAACACTGCAGAAGAGGAGCAGGTAGAGGGGGACCCATTCCAGTGATGCAAGAGTAGTATATTTTACCGTCCAGCTGATGATCATATTTGTGGTTTCATTCCCCTCTCCTTTAACATCTGTTGGATTCTGCTGAGGAGCTACAAAGCAAAGGGGCAAGTTAGGCAGATGTCTGTATCTCATCATGCAATCCCTCCACAAGCCCCTGAAGACCAGAATCTTGACTCTCCTCTTGCACTCAGGCCTCCCTTTTTCTGGGCCCTGATACTCAACACATGACATCAGGTTATTCATCTTCTGCAACAAGCAAAGTTCAACTGTTTGGCTAGTATGGTAAGCAAGACCTGCCCATCCCTGTTTATTCTGCTTCTGCTCAGCAGGCAAGGACCCTGAAACCACCACCTCTGAAAGCCCCCCCAGCTTTCATTCCAGCCCCCCTTGTTAGCCACACACTTCACAGTGGATCCCACTCCCTGCTTTTTTAAAAATGGAAGCTGAGAATTTCAGGATATTCAGTCATGCCCAGATTTAGGGATACTTGGTGGGAGACCATTGGAATCAACATGACTTAAGCCATGGTTAACTTAAGCTTCGTTGATTTAAATTAGTTTATTAGTGAGAAATCTCAGATCAAAGAGCCAAATCAGACCATCCCAGCCTCCCCTTCTGGTCCACTGGGGTCTCCCAGTCAGCCATTCTCCTTTTTCTGCCCCCACCACCTTTCCCCAAACCATCAATCACAGGAAGTTTTCCTGGCTTTCTGCCCATTCTAAAAGATGGAAATGCCTCCACTAAGGCTTAGTTACTGGCAGTTAAGGGCTTCAAGCTAAAATATGCTGATATTTTAAAAATGTTGGACCCATTCCACTCGCCCTGCCCCCAAGAACTTCCCTGAAATTGAATCTGGTCATTGAGCTGAAAGAAGTTCCCCATTCCTGTTCTGCTCTGGGTCCAACCCACTGCATCCTGCAACAAAGCATCACATTCTGTGGCTCTTGTGTGCCTGTGTGGAAATATACAGCCTACTCCCAGCCCACTATACACTCTAGCTCTTGAGGTTCAAATAGCTAATTCAGGAACTGTCCTTGTGCGGTTGACCTTTGTACAGATATGCCACAACTACTGCTGGCCCCTTCAAGGGATGCTTCCTATGGAACATGTCCATCCCTCCAGGCTTCTCCCCAACACTCCAGGCTTTCATACCTGCAGGTTTTGTGATGTGACTGGCAGACGGGTTACTTAGCTCACTCTTCCCCTCACTGTTGCTGGCCTGCACATAGAAGGTATAGTTCTTGAATGGGGAGAGCGACAGCATGGCCCATGGCTGGTTTCCTGGCACATTTGTCAGTGGTAACTTTTCTCCTGGACCAAATTTGTTTTCTACATAAAAGACGGTGTACTCTGTGGGTGCAAGAAGGATTCTAGTGAGGTTGGGGTTTCACACAACACAGCAACACATAGTGGCTCTAGTCTTTTTCCTATCTAGGCTTTACACAAGACTGGGGGTGAAAGACAAAGATGATGATAAATCACTGAGGAACACTGAGATAGTGGTAAATCTGAAAGTGCAAGTCCACATCATGATGGGTTCCATGGCCATGTCCCCAAGGAGAGTCCCAAACTGCAGACAGCTGCATGGATTCATAGAATCATAGGCTAGCAGAGTTGGAAGGAAGCAAGAAGGCCATCGGGTCCAATCTGCTGCTGTTTCAGAACACCAGTTTACACCATTGCACCCAGATGACTGTCCAGTTTATTTTTGAACAACTCTCATGTGGGAGAGCCCATGACCTTTCTAGGCAACTGGTTTCACTGTTGTATTGCTCTGACAGGGGGGAAACTTTTCCTGATAATCTAGTCTGAAGCTGGTTTGTCTCACCTTGAGTTGATTATTCCTACACTTTGGGATGAATGAAAAGAGATATAGTCCTAGCTCTTTGTGACTGCCTTTCAGGTACTTGTAAAGCGATATCATGTCCCCCCTCAGTCTTCTCTTCTCAAGACTGAATATGCCCAGGTTGTTCACATCAACAAACCCGTTGCAGGAGTTTTCCACTGGTAGGAGCCATTCTTCTGTAAAGCTGACAGGCCTCACTTGCCCATACATGACCAAGCCACTCCAAGATACTCATGGTTACAGCAACAAACAGTATATTGTCACTGGGAAAATTCACTCCCCCCCCCCCCCCACCCAACTACCATGAATATTGCAGCTAAGTTTGGAGGGGCTTGGAGGGAACAGAGAAGGTGGCGGGTGATCTCAGCATCCCTGCTAATCAGAAAGCACCGGCACTGTGTCCCTGCATGGTCCCCGGCTGCACTGCAGCACTGCTGGGGAACACAGCAGCTGTGTTCCATTACCAGACCAATTCCTGAGGCGAGGTAGTTTCAGGTGAGATAATGAGGAAGGAGTGCAGGGACGGACTACAGCTAGGAATACATTCTGTGTATGTGAGTTCTGAGGTAAAAGCCGTGAGTTCTGAGGCTCTGGATGAACCCTAATAATGTGGCTGATAATATGATAATCCTGCTGATCATATGACCACAGCTCCTCTAACCAAGAGGCACTCTGCACTATTTCTTACCCTCGATGGGCCTGTTGTGATCATCTCCAGGTGTCCATGTCAGCTTCACCTGATGATCCGGTTGCCTGAGCAGTTCCAGATTTGACACTGGTCCTGGTTTGCCTGACAGAGAAACAATAATTGGAGCCACATGGGAGCTGCCACCCCACAGAGCAGTGACAGACAGAAGGCAGACCTCCAGCTCCCAGCATTCCTAACAATTGGCAGGGGCTTATGGGAGCTGATGTTCAAATATCAGTTCTACCTTTTGCCCAGTCCAGATGATAAAAGCTTAAGATAGTCTTCCCTACTCTTTTAGCAGATTTCCCAGGGCTTACCCAAAACATGCTTAAGTCAGAAATTTCAAATGGCAGGTGATGCCAACACCACCTTTCCTCTGGTTAGTGTTTCCCATAGCCTAGTCATTCATTAATCATTTGTCTTCTAAACAATTAAGGGGATGTGGTGGCGCAGTGGGTTAAACCGCTGAGCTGCTGTGCTGCCGATCGAAAGGCTGGGGGTTCGAAGCCACATAACAGGGTGATCTACCACTGCCTTGTCCCTAGCTCTTGCCAACCCAGCAATTCGAAAGCATGTAATACAAGTAGATAAATAGGTACGACTTCTGTGGGGAAGCAACAGCGCCCTGTGACATCATGCTGGCCACACAACCATGGGAGCATCTTTGGACAGTGCTGGTTCATGGCCTTTGAAACTGAGATGAGCATTGCCCTCTATAGCTGTTTTGGCTAGCAGAGTAAAATCCACAGGGACTCACTCCCTGACTCCCTCCCTCCCTCCCTCCCTTCCTTTTAAGCAACTAATTCACTGCATTTAGATTGAAGTAATCAGAAGAGAGTTTTTAAAGATATTGAAGGATTATAAGAATGACATGCTTCTCACTGTTGGAAGAAGCCACCATCAATATATTTTCTAATTACCTTATTATTGCTACCCACCAGGAACAAATTTGCCTCAAAAGAACCAAAAACAACAATGTAAGCCCATAATACATAACCACAACCATTAAAAATTGCTCTCACTGATAAGAATTGTCCCCATCCACTAACTACTAAAGCTGATTTTGGTGAGGTTAATTGCACCAACCAGTAAGCAACCCAGGTTGATGCATCTCTCAGTTAAAGCTAGCAGTCCTAGTAACTGGTCATCCTTTAATGGTGCCTCCCAATCTGCCACCTGGCAGCTGCTTCATCTTTTGACCACGCACTAGTTTGGATTGTGATCTCAAGAGGGAGGGGACTGATATCTGTTCTCTCCTTTTTGGCACTCACCATATACCACAAGCTTGGCACTTTTCTCCACAGAGTCAAGGGTTGTCCAAGCCAGGCAGCTGTATGTTCCTTGGTCAGAATAGTTCAGATTGGTAACTGTCAGAGATGTCTCGTTGATGAAGTATCTAGGAACAGACAGAGGGACACAGTCCATAAGGCACAGCGCCTCTCTCAGACCACAAGCCTGCATGCGAGAGTGCCCTGTGGACTCACTTGCTGTCATCTTCCGACTCCTGAATGGCATGCCCGTTGTGGCGCCACTGGATGCCATGCTCCGGAATGGTCTCGTCGAACAACACCTTGCAGTGGAAAGTCACACTCTTGCCTCTCTTCTCCTCTGTGTTTGCAGGCCCCACTTCAAACTGTGTGGCTCCTGAAAAGGGAACAGACTGAGGGGTTGGGTCTTCCCTTTGCATCAGGCCTTGCTGCGACGTGAGGCAAGAAACATCTCTCCAGTAGACCTCTCATAACTGTAGTTTGCAGAGTCTTTCTTTGCCCACCACTCTTCAGTGTCATTTGTGCTCTTAGCCTCACAGTCAGAGCCAGCCCAACCTATTCTGAACCCTGAGGCAGAAAATCCAAAATGGCAGCTGTACACCCACCCCACTGATTTAACCTGGGGAACATGGGGCCAGTGCTGCCATTAGGCCAACAAGGTGGCCATCCAGAGCACAAACCTCAGTGGGGTGCAGAACTGACCTGGGGGGCACAGTTTTGTATGGGTTAGTTTCTTGAAAAAATGACAATATTTTTTAGTTTAAGATAAATACCACAATAGTGCTATGGAATTAATTAATATAGAGTCTTATAAAAGTTGGGCACCCCCTATCTCTTGGAAAAGTCCCATTGGCACCAGCCACTGTGGACTGCCCCCTGGGTTATCAGCAAACAGGAACAGTGGGCAGGCAGCAGTGGGGGAGCAGGCCGCAAAAGCTATGGAGCACCCCTCAACAGGGCAGGGGGAATGGTCTCCTCAACAGACAATCGGACAGCTCAAATGCACACCCTAACATTTTTAACAAGACATTTCCCAAGAGGTAAAGCAAACCAGAAAACTATTACAAATGGGCTAGTTGTTGTTCTTTGAATAACAGCAGTATGGCATGGCTTTGGGAAGGCAATGTGAGATCACTAACTTTCAGAAAAGGCAACACTTATGAATTATATCATCCTGCCTTGAGATAATGTTGCCAGTTATTGCTGCATCTCAAAATAGTCTAGAAGACTCAGAGTTATCCCAGAAGACTCAATCAACTTGAGAGGACCATGCCTCACTGAAACTACTCCTTTTTAGCTCTCCAAAGAGACAGCTAAAAGAAGAAAGCAAGCAAAATAAGTAACTGCACAGATGTATCTCCCCATCAAGTACAACATAATTCTCTCTCATTTGTCTCACAACAAGCATGAGAAGGGGTGGGGGAGTAGAAGCTCTGTTGAGCCAGCCAGAAAAAAAGACATGGAAATAGCTGCCCATGATGCAAAAAGAAACTCTTCAGCAATTTGAGGAAGCAAAGCAAAGAAGGGGAAAGGAAAACAAAGGGAAAAAGGCAGGAAACTGCCTCCAGAGCTAAGAAAAGAAACCACTTCATGGAGCAAACTATCCCAGCAACACCAAGAGGAGAGCCAGAGTGGAGAACACTAACATCTCCACAGCTGGAAAGAAATGGGCAGAAAGACAGCTTCATGGCTACAAGAAAAGAGGGAAATTCTGCTGAAGCAATGTGCAGAGCATACTTGCTGCAAGTGCAGGAAAAAAATGCTGCTGCGCTAAGAAAGTTGCAACTGCTCCCACACCTTTCCCTAAAGCTATATTAATGTTCTCTCAGCAATAACAACCCCTGGGATTCAGCAAGTATGGCTGGCAGTAGATGATCTCAGCCACAGGTGGCTGAGAGATGGCAAGCTAAATTAATAAACAAGGGAGAGAGCAGCAGAAGGCTGATTAATACTCAGGATACAATTGTGGTAAAGTTTTCAAGGATCCTCCAAAGCCTGGAGTGAAGGGTCACATGGCATGGGCTGACATACCATAACCCCAATTGCTCACGCCATCATTGGCTAGCTTCATTCCCATGCAACACGCTCCACCCTAAACCCAACAGACTCCTGGTCTTGCTTGGCTTGGACTAAGTGGGTTTCTGCTAGCTATAGTCTTGCCTTATCCCTGGACGGAACTTAAACCTATTTAGAAAATACAGTTATTTTTCCAGGGAGCTGTGACTGATACAGAAACAACCATCTGGAGCTCAGTTCTGCATATGAAAGACAGAAAGAGCCAAGCAGCAAGCAAAGCAAGAGGCGGCAGTTCTTCCGGAAATACCTTTGCACACAGAAGGCAATTAAAGAACAAAAATATGACTGTACCCTTGCTGAAACTACCACTGAAGAAATTGCATGTGGTTTTTCAACTACAAATGATATAAGCTCTAAAAAAGAAGTTTTACAGTTTTGAGATATTTCAGTAAAGCACAGTGGAAAAAGAGGATTTCAAGGTAAGTGAAAGCACTGCCACAAAGACTGCAAAAGAAGATGATATCATGCCTGGCTTGAATTACAGCGGCCCTGCTAACTGGTCTAACTATTGCAGAAATAATTTGTAGCAGCTTATACTACAAAATGAATCACAGCGGGTTGTATCATACAATTTCCCAAACACTCAAAAAACAGAGGATTTCCTCCTATACATTACAAGAGGAGACTTGCAAATGGTGAAGAAGTGTGCCAACAATGGCAGATATATTCCACCTCAAAAGAAGGGGTTTTTTTGTTTTTGCTGTAGGTTGTTCGGCAAAAGAATCGGTGCATCAACTCTACAGGAACCAGGTTCGAAAGACTGGAAGAACATTGGAGCAATTTTGGCTTTACATGAGAGGAATACTCTTTATTTTGAAAACCACCAGACCTGGAGAGAACTTGAATTGAGCTTGTATAATGAAAAATGACTGATGATATTAGCCAGCAGAAAAGCAGGCAAGAAAAACAATATTGTCAACAAATCTTGGAACATTTGATTGCTTTGGTCAGAGTTCTTGGCATGCAAAAGTGGCATTCCTTGGTAAAAGTGCCAACGATGGATTATATATTTTTTGGGAAGTTTGTAGAATATTTTAGTCCTATTATGAATATTTGTGCAGAGTTAAAGAAACAATGGTTTCACTGCTTAGGAAAATATGTCCAAAATGAGCTTATACAGCTTCTAGCAGTTTCTATAAAGCAAAAATAAAAATAAAAATAAAAAATAGCATGTGTAAACTCAACCAAATACTACTCAGTTATTCTGGACAGCACACCTGACATTGGTCATATTGAACAAATTGCAATGATTGCACACTATGTCAATGTAATCAAACCATCAGATACTGAGATGTCTGAGCCTGAAGGTATGATAAGCACATAAATACCTTCTCATGCCCTGCAATTCACACTCATTAAACCTGATAGTTGATTATGTCACTAAGTGTTGTCTGGAAGCAACAAATTTCTTCAGTTTTGTTCAGCAAATCTATAATTATTTCTCTGCATTGACTCAGCCTTGGCAAATTCTAACTAGTCATGTATCAGGCACAAACCATTGAATCAAACAAGATGGGAGAGTTGGAGCGATGCTTGAAACTACTAAGATATCATCTTGGTATATATGATGCTTTAATGGAGATCTTTTATGATATGAGCCTAAAAATTTATCTGGAAATACTTATTGAATTGAAACCAAGGCCCTTGCTGGTGTAATTTGTGAGTTCAAGTTTGCGGTATTCCTTATTACATGGTAGAACATTCTTTTTGGAAATGAACCTTACAAGCAAGCTTCTACAAAATAAGGAATTTCCTTGTGGAATGTAGGTGTGATGAGGGTTTTCAACAAGTTTTGATAGATGCTACTGAGATTGCAAAGGAGATAGAAATACTACCAAACTTTAAGACAGAACAAGTTAGAAAAAGGAGAAAGAGACAACCGTTTGAGTATGAGGCCCAAGAAAAGGCACCACAAGATCCAAAGCAAAACATTCAAGGTAGGTTTTTATTATGCTATCTTAGACATGGCCATACAATCTGCTGAAGAGAGATTCTTACAGCTACAAAAATATAATTCCCTATTTGACTTCCTGTATGAGACATACAGTATCACCAAAAATGTACTGAACATGTACTTAATGCCTGCAAGAATTTGGAAAAATCATTGCTGCACAACAGAAACAAAAATATTGATGATGAAGATCTGAGTTCCTCACACTGCAACAAAAACTCTTGGATAGTGTGCCTAATTTTTCTGTTGCTCTAAGGATCCCTCTCACATTCCCAATGTCAACAGAAAGTGGTAAATACAGTTTCTCAAAGCTCAAACTTATAAAATTGTACATATGTTCAACAATGCTGCAAGAGAGACTAGTTGGTTTGGCAGTTACATCAGTTGAACATGCCCAAGCATCAGCACTTGGACTAAGGGAATTGGTGACAAATTTTGCAAAGGAAAAGGCAAGCAAAAGGAGTTTTTGATGTGCTTGAAATGGAAACATTCAAGAGAGTTAAATTGTAACATCACAGTTCATAGGATTATTCAAAATGATTTGTGTTAAAACTGTTTTGTATTTTGTGAAAGAAAAATCAAAGATTGTTGTATTAATTATTCCCACATTTAAAAAAAATAGCTCAAGTTTTGTGCTTTTTATTTTTCTCACAATGCATCTGTTTCTGAAAATTGGTTAGCAGTGCAGGGGCACAAGTAGCCTTGCCCAGGGTGCAAAAAAGTCTTGCACTGCAGGTACAGACCGCTGAGAGTCTGTCCGCACTACACTAAAATGAACCACAATAACACTTTAGACATTTCTGCCATGCTGGCCCCTTTAATGGCATCCCAAAGTCTGAGCTTACTCATTTTCTGTTATGTTTAAGTAATCCTCCATGGTAGACAAAAGTCTATGGTAAAAGTCATATATAAATGCATATTTTAAAATAAATTGATAAGTAACAGCTTTCCCTCACCACTGCCCCCAGAGAGGTACCAACTGTACTGGAGGGAAGCTGGAAGCTGGAGAAGCAAGACCACAAGCCCCTCCATGGACCAAAACAGGCATTACTTTAAAGCTGTGTCTAGCTGCTTTCACCTTCCATCTTCCCCACTTCTACTCTAGAATTTTACTGTAGAATTCAGATTGAGATAGTAGTGTGCCCGGGGGTGGGCTGGTAAGACCTGCACCTACTCTAGACTGAAAACTGAACAAAATATGGAAGTATTAGACTATTCCTTTCAAAAACTGAAACTGTCTTGGCCCTGTTATAGAGATGGCAGGAGATGTGGAGGAACCTGAATCCACCCTTGACTTTATGGCATGGAAATAGGAATCTGGCATGAATCTATCTGCGAACACTGTGGAGGAGGAGGGAGAAAGGCTTGTGGCTGAAAGCTCTGAGCAGGACGAAGCATGATCCCTTCTCTGCTGCCAAGGCCGTTTTGTGTTTAGAATACCTGCTCAAGCTACAGCAGCAGGATGAAAACAGACACACAGAAAGTTTCACCTTACTTTCCTGAGCCCTGATCACTTTTCTTCTCACCATGCCTCGTTCTGCCTTAGGCCTGACTGGTCCCATCATGCAACATTTCTTTGGCTTCGTACACCCAGAATAATGTCAGCTGCCTGCTGGGAAACCAGCTCCCACCTTTGACGATCAGGCGGGCTGTGATGGAGACATTGTTCTGGTCATTTGCTGCCATGCATGTGAAGTTCCCAGCGTCCTCACGCTGGACTTGGTCAAGCACCAGGGTCCCGTTTGTGAACATAAAGATCCGCTCATCATCTAGGGCAGGGTACATGTCTTCCATAAACCTGGCAAAAATGGATGAGAAGAGAGGAATGTTGTGTGTGAAAGAGAAAACCTCTGTGCTCCAAGTGCTTAGGACTGCTGCTACCTGTTCTTAAAAAGGCTGTCAGGTTCTTCCTGTAATTTTAAGATCTAGTCAACAGGCATAACATCAAGCAAATGAATCTTTATTTTAAAAGTCACAATTACCTGGTCCTTCTCTTCCCTATTTCATCATCACAACCAGGCTGGGAGGTAGGTTAGGCTGAGAGTTTCAAAGCCAAGTGGGGACTAGAACCCAGGTCTCCTGTGCCCCAGCCCAGCACCCTCACCACTACACTACACTGGCCCTCCACCCCATCCCAGAAACTCTGTGCCAAGTAAAGTTGTTTGTTGTGAACTTCTGCAGACCATGTGGTTGTTAAAGACACAAAAACTCTGCCAGAATTTTTTTTAAGCAGAAAATCTGAGTAAGATTAACTCCAGTGTGATACAAGAGCCCTTCCTTGTCTATCATGCTCCTCAGTGTTTCTCTCCTACTCCCTTCTTGGAAAAAGCAGTATTTCCTTTCCCAATATGTTTTATGACTTCCACTGTCTACATTTCTCTGACTAGCCCTCCTTTTCAGAGCAGGCCCAGTCAGGATTTTGCCCACTCAGGCAGTTGCCAGAACAAGATGATGCAAACCTAGGAAGAGAGTCCCATCAAGTCATCTATGCAATTAGTGCGCATATGCCATTATCACTCACACATGTGCGTAAGGCATCTCCAGCCAATATTCAGCATTTCATGCCTATTGAGAAAAGGGCCTCATTGGAGTAGGGGTTTAGAGCTTTATATACCATTAGGTATAAAAGTTTTTAAGGGAGGGGGGTTTGTACATTTGCAAACGTTGGGGTTCCCCAAATATGCTGATACTTTCCTCCTGTTTCTTAGTGGCTACATACTCATCCAGAAGATGAAACTCAAATATTTTGTCCACCTAATGAGAAGGAAGGACTCCCTGGAGAAGAGCCTAATGCTGGGAACAATAGATGGCAAAAGAAGAAGGGGACGGCAGAGGATGAGGTGGCTGGATGGAGTCACTGAAGCAGTCAGTGTGAGCTTAAGTGGACTCTGGGGGATGGTGGGGGACAGGAAGGCCTGGGCGAATGTTGTCCATGGGGTTGGGTCGACACGACTTCGCGACTGACTAACAATAACAACAACATGCTCATCAGTAACAAAAGAAAGTTTCCTCCAATCTTTTCCTGTTCTGACCCTTCAGCAATCTTCAGAGGCTCTTCTCTAAGTGCCCTCACTGAAGGAAGGTAGCAGGGTAGCTACAGCTATTACCTTTCTGGAACCAGGCAAAAACCCTTCTTTCCTCCGAGGCCTTTTAAAGACCTAGCTCTAGATTTTAATGGCTGTTTTATCTGTCCCTGTACTGGGTTGTTTTAAATTGTATTTGTCCTTTTAAATATTAATATTGCATTTTATAGTATATTTTAAGTGTCTCTGCTATATTTTAGTCTTATAGCTCTTTGTAGTCTTCCCAGAGAAATTTATTTATTGGGACAGTTCAGATAATAATAAATAAATTGGCACTCACCACCACAGCAAGTTCTGCAACATAATGTTTTATGTGATTTTTTTATTTAATTCCAGAAAGACATATCTGTCCTATTCCGAAATACCCTTCTATTACACACACACACACACACACCATTCCTTCAACGCGAATTCAGATACCAGGGCCACTGAGCATAAATGGACTGTTTTTGAGTATTTTTGACCTCCTTGAAAAAAGACTGTTTGTATTTCCGTAAGTTCCCCTGACAATGCTAATACTCTTGCATCTCAGTGGCCCCAGTTTTTATTATACAGGCATTAGTCCTCAGCACAAAATGTATTTACTTGTTAATATTTATATACCACTGCTCATTTCAAACAAATCCTGGAGTAGTTTACAAAAGAATGATAAACTCTATGTGTGCACACAGGTACACACAAAATAATGAAAGGATGGTAATTAAAAGATAGCTAATGGCTGGGGAAAGCTACATTTTCAATAATTGCCTCCAGCACATCAGTGTTGAGGCCTGACATACCTCAGAGGGAAGATTGCAGCACAGGGCAGGTGCCACTGCAGAGAAAGCCCTGTCTCTATAGTGTCACTAAACTGATCCATAGACTGTGGCATGGGAAATGGGGCCTCCCTTAAAGGGAAGTTAGTAAAGGGGAGATGCTTCTCTTGAGGTATCCTGGTGTTACCAATTGCAGCACCTCAAAACACCCCAAAAGCAATTGGCCAGAGAAAGGCCCCAAAAGTAGTGGGCCAGAGGAAGGCCACATAGTAAAAACACCACAGTTATACTGTCCCAGAAGGGAGGGCAGATACAAACGAAATGAACTTTGTGTAACCAACAGCTAACACGCTAGACTGACCTCGAATACAGTAATTAAAGGGACAGTGGAGACTGGTTCTAGCCGTCATGAAAGTTGCAAATGTGCAGGGAGTAAGAACAAGGCAAGGCAAGCCTGTGTGAATCTTGAGCAGATAAGAAATAGACATGGGAAATGTCTGGTCCTTGACAGAAGAAAGGACTCTTTCTCCAGCACAGGAAGGGGTGCATAAATTGATGTATTGATGTATTAGATGTATATCAGGTGACCTAATTGGTTTCCTAGGGTACAAAACGCATGTACCGGGGTGCAACTTTTGAGACACTGCTTTGGGCTGAATGTCCCCTTTTGTCTCCCTTTATTCTATAGTGCACTAGAATAAAGCTGATTTTGGCTCTAAGTCTCGTCTCAGGCTTTGTTTGGCTCGGGTCTGGGGTCCACCCAGGTTTGCCCCAGCTGTTGACTGGCTCAGTCCAGTAACACTGGTTCTGAGTTGCTGTTAGACAACTCATGCCAACAGCTTTGCTGTTGGGTGAGGTTGGTACTGTTGATCATAAAGTCCTGCAGAATACTCTGACAGAAGGAAGCATCGACTATTTACAGAGGAAAGGCAATGTAGCTGTTCAGCGCCACTCAGCCCAGGTACTTTGGCACACAAAAGCTGACACACAAGGACATCCAGTGTGGCCTGGTGGTGGGAGCATTGGAGTAAGACGAGAGTACTAGGCCCCACTCAGCCATGGAGCTCACTTTGGCTCAGTCACAGACTCCCAGCCTAGCCTACCTCACACGGTTGTTGTTGTGAGGATAAAATGGAGAGGAGGAGGATCATGTAAGCACCTTGTGTCCCTTCAAGGAAAGGTGGGATATAAAGCAATTGATTAAAAATGCAAATGGCATCAGAGCACCTTAGGACAAAGCAGTTTAGGAGAAGAGTCTAGAATGGAGAACTTACCACTTCACGGTGGGCCGTGGAGCGCCAAAAGCCATGCACTGCAGGATGGCAGTCTGGTTCTCGACCACACTGTACACCAGCTCATCTGGGGTCAGGATCTCTGCTGGCAGGCCTGCAACAAAGGAAGGAGGTAGAAGGGTGGCGGGCGGATCACACGCAAAGCAAACAACTCACCCCGTTTCCTCAGCTAACCCCACCCAGCTTTAAAAGGGTCTTACAGGCATAATGGAGGAATCCCCTATTCAGAATTTAGCAGGTGGTGGGGACAGACAGGGCATTGCAGGTCAGTGTGAAACACCAAAAAAGAATATTCAGCAGACGATTGAGTGTTAGAAAAGCATTATAAATGAACCAATGATAGATAAATAGCTTTTTATGTATGGCCAAGATTTATTAAGTCATCCAATAGCAGACAGCTCTCCAGGTGAGGAAGAAGAAAACACAAATGAAACAAACAGCTTGATAAAGCAATATTGCCCCATAACCAAAGAGAGCTGCGGCTCCTGGGTGGTAGAGAAATGTAATAAAGAAATAAAATACATAATCCAAAGCAGCAGAGGCAAAACAAAAACATCACCTAACACTGCTGAAATGTCAAAAGTCAATCTGCTTTAAAAGGTAGCATAGCAGTAAAGGATTCAAAGGCCTGAGAGAATAATCATGACCAGGAAGGTATCTGATGACTGCTCAAAGGCCAGCAACAGAGGTGCCAGGCAGGCCTCTCTGGGGAGCCTTCCCTCATTATGAGGACTGCACTACTGAAAAGATCTGCTCTCAGCCACCTACTGCACCAGGTTGGCTCCAGGTTTTAGAGGGGCCTTGGGCAAAGCAGCCTTTGTGAGTTGACCTTCTTGTCACTGTGGCCACAAGCTGCTATGTCTCCTTGCCCACTTTCTCATTGTTGCTTCTAAAATTTGCTGACCAGCAGAAAGCCAGTGAGAGAGAAGGAAGAGGCACCTTCTGGTCCTCCTCTGTACCATTTTTATTATTTGGGTGAAACCAACAGGCAGGTGAAAAAGCAGGTTGAAATGGGGGGCAGGGGGAGGAGGAACAAGTCCAGGGGAATCTTGTCAGTCAACTCTGTTGAGTTGTGGGCTCTTAGCAGGTGCCTTACCATGCCTGCCTTTGATGCTGGCCCTGGTAAAATGTGCTGGAACCTAAGCATAAGAATGGGCACTTCACGCCCACCTCTAAATGACCCTCCAGGGAAAGTAGTCATTAGAGAACTTTTTCTTACACAATGGAAGCTGAAAGTGCAGAGCCAGACACAATGGTTGCGTTCACAAGCATAATGGCAAGCCATGCTGGAGATTGCTGCTCATTCAGCAAGCATGGTGAAGCATGGCATGTATGGTTATTGTTAATTTCCACTGAGAAACAACAGTTTGTTCTACCGTTTCCATGCTTCTGCGTGGCTTGTTCTTATGTGTGACTTCATTTGCCATGCTTTTTCTAGGGTTTCCACATTTCCTACAGAGTTTGGTTGCAAGAGTGGCCATGGCAGCTGCAGCCCCTCCAGCCACCATTTTCTGCTGCCCTGTTCTGCCTAGCAACAGCTGAGATGCCAGTGGGCAGGGCACTGATTGGCTGCCTCTGCACTCTCTGACCTTTCTCCCAGTGTTCATTCCCTGATGCCCAGACATCCCATCTCACTGCCCCCATGCTTGTGCTGCTGCCTTGCCACCTGTCACCACCTCTTGAACTAACATTTTTTTTAATTGTTACATTGTTATTATTTATGCATTTATGTATTCATGTATCCTTTGTGAGCCGCCCCGAGGCTTTGTTGCAATGGGGGCGGCATAGAAATGTTTTAAATAAATAAATAATAGCATATACACCACAATTTGGAAGGCAGATGGAAGCAAGTGGAAACTAATCATGAGTAGTTACCATGTATGAACACAGAACGTAAGGTGAGATACCATGCTGCGCAAATGCTACACCGCTTGATTTTGCATTATGTGTGAACATAGCCCATGTCAGAACAGTGGCTCTGCTAAGGCAGAGGCCCCTTCACTGGTTTTGAGGCCCTGAAAATGCCTGTCCTTGCCACCCTCTGGACTCAGTCTGGCCCCACTTTGACCCAAGGTGAATGACCCCAAGGGTGTGGAATGGGCTTCCATGGGAGGTCGTTGAGGCCCCATCGGTGCGGGTGTTCAAAGATAGGCTGGACATGCACATGGTGGGCATGTCGTGAGTGGAGCCAGCTGGAGCTGGGGGTCAGACTAGATGGCCCGGGAGACCCCTTCTTAGTTTCTGTGTTTCTATGTTTCTATAAACTTACGGACAATAAGGATGTACGCATTGGCCAGGAGGCTGCCATGGTGATTATGGGCCTCACACTGGATCACAGCTGTATCGTTTGGCTGCACATTGCTGAGGAACAAAGCTCCTCCTTGCACCTTCCTTCTTGGGTCTGGCAAGATTTCTGAAACACAGCAAAGAGTTCAGGCAGAGTAGAAAAAATGTGGGGCCCTGGCACCTCAGCTCCCACCCCTGTAGAAGGTAGGACTCACCTTCTAGTGGGATCCCATTGATCCTCCATGACACCTTTGGTTTTGGCTTCCCAGCAACCTTGCAGTCCATGCGCTCATTCTCCCCTGGTGCATTGATCTGGCTCACTGGTTTTTGTATCCAATATGGAGCAGCTAAAAAAGGAGACAGGTTCAGGAGTTCCCTTCAGTTTTGATCCATAGCCTCATTGCTAACTCGAGAGACTCTGATTGCATTTCTCAGTTTCACTGTACAGTTAGTTATTAACACCCAGCAAATTTTGGGGAGTAATTCTATGTCTGTTTAAGGAAGAAAATGGCCCAAAACTCTCAGTATTTTGCAGCCAAGCATTCTGGGAGCTGTTCAGACAGAAGATTATGCCTGTTCAGACAGAAGATTGTACCTTTGAAAACAAGCAAGTTTCTACATCCATCTTCTTCAAGTCTTAAACCTCTCCTTTCCCCATTTCCATTAAATTACACTTAATGAATATTGGACCAAAGAGCAGGCTACTGCCTTTCCTGCAATAATGATGTCTCACTTAAGCTACTGCAGTTCACTCTGCTGGGCAGCCCTTTACATCCCTCTGTATTTTCTCCCCAGTCAAACCTTAGACTGTAAGCTGCTAAAGGCAGGGAAGGATGAGCCTCTGTAAATAATGAATATTATTAGATGAAAGTCACTCAGAGTTCTGGACTTTGAAGTTCCATAATGTTCTAGCAGAGAACTATGCTGCCTGCATGTTTGCTGTCTAAACGTGTGCTGGAACAGCATTCCCTGCTCAAAGGCCTCTTGCTAACCTGAGCCACCCCAGCTATTCTTCTAGGTTGCTCCTTATACCTGTAATGCTGTCCACAATGCTTGGGTGACATCTTACCCCTATTTCCTTAACACCCCTGCTCAAAATCCACTTCTCTAAAGCAACAGACTCTAAGGCCTTCTAGTTTTTTAAAGAAGGTATGTGGGTTAAAATAGCTTTGCATCCACACACATTCATACCAGTTAGGACTCATGTGCAGCATTTCAGACCTTTGCCTCTGTCATTCCTTCCCTATTCATTCTGTCCACAGCTGACTCTCCATTGTCCAACTTCACACTGTAGGCTCATTGGGGTGTGGATCCCTCAAGGGGAGGCAGAGGGAATGCGACATGTGCTTAAAATTTCCCCTCTGAAATCAGTAGGGCTTAAAGAGTGCCAACTTTGGCTGGATTGTGCCTTCCCCAGCATGCTGCCCTTCAGATACAGGCATTATAACTCTCATTATCCTCAGCCATTGACCATGCTGCCTGGGGATGATGGGAATTGTAATCAAATACAACGCAAGGGCCTCAGGATAGGGAAAGCTGGTTTGGCCTGCTTAGTTTAACTTAATGTCTATTCTCTTAAAAATGAGATTTCAGCTATACTTGTGATGCCTCCAGAAGGAGGGCTCCTAGCATTGGGTAGGTGTTCCATCTATTGCCTCTTAACACATTTTCCACAGTAAGAACATTGACAGAAGAAGTGATGGGAAAACACAGGAGGGCTGTAAGTGGGAGATGACAGCATGGAAACAGAGGAACCTGTCTTATGCTGAATCAGACCCTTGGCTCATTTAAGCCCAGTATTGTCAACAAAAGCTCCAGAGTTTCAGGCAAGAATTTTTCCAGCCCTATCTGGGGATGCCAGAGATTGACCCAGGCAGCCTCTGAATGCAAAGCAGATGCCCTCCCATGGATCTGGAGTGCCCAATAAAATTCTGGGAATAACGTTGGGGGGGGTGGCATGATAACAATCTTGTCTGGAAGGACCCTGGCATCTCCGCACCATACATGTTTACCATTGCCACTTATGGAGTGGTGTCCCCATCACCCATGCTTTCACTCTGCCACTGAAATGGCTCCTCAGCAAAGAGCATTTTAATTGAAAATGAATAGTAGAGAATACCATTTTTAAAAGCTGCTTATTCTTTGTGAAAAAGCATTCATTCATTTGCTGTTGGGATACATGCCAACTGTCTGGCCGCTCCCTAATTCTAAGAAGCTTGGGGCCTCATGAGCATCTTCGTCAGCTAAAATGCTGGGAAAAAGCTGCTATTTAAGCTTCCTTTAATATGGATGTGGCTGCAGTTTAAATAAACAAAATTTTGGGAAGAAAAATAGGGCTCCATTCTTAGGATGAAACTAGTGTCCATCCCAATGTTGGACTACAATTCCCATCATTCCCAGCCAGTGTGCCCAAGATTGTAGGGGGTGATTGCAGCCATGGTCCAAGATACTGGGAGGACATCTAGTTGTAGAAGGCTACTCTAGAGCAAACTAGTATTATTCAGATGTGTTCCCCCATTAGCCTCCTTTGCCTCTCAGACAAATCTAGACTTCACAAGGGATCCAATGCTTCACTTCATTTTTCTTCCCTCTTGCCTGTAACAGGCAGTAGAATATAATGTGACATCATCACATTATTTATCCATACATCCTGCCCTCCTTGCTGCTCATAACTGGCTGTTGGCACAGAACGATGATGTCACATCATTTGGGAAGCTGTATGACACCTTACCAGGAACGCTACTTGAAATATCTGATCCCACCCTGACCCTGTCTGGGAAGAAACCCCTTCAGGAAAGCCTGTGAGTTTTGCTCTTCATTATCAACTCAGCATCAATGGTCACTAGGCACAATGGCTCTATCTTACCTCCAGTGTCAGAGGCAGTACATGGGGAATGTGAGCAAAAGGGAGCTGCCTTTGTGGCACTTACGTCCTGCTTGTGAACTTGCAGAGGGAGTCAGTTGGATACTGTGTGAGCAGAATGCAATGCTAAATTGGGCTTTGGCCTGGCTCAGTAGGACCCTTTCTGTGTTCTTAAACTAGGCATGAAGACAGGAGAGATGGAAGGGAAAGCACCAACTGAAGTTTATCCCATGCGGTGCTGAAAGCAGATTTGAGGGCCCGACTGCAGCAAGGAAGAAACGTGTTCTTCCCTCCCTGCAGGCCTGACAAAAAATTGCTCCCCACCCCATGCTTAATATTAATGGGATATTAATAAATATCAAGTTAATATGAATGGGAAGTGAAAACATCCAAATTGCAAACCCAGATTTAGTTTCATATCTAGCTGGGCCTTGAAACCAAAGGGACTTTTAAAAAGAGAAAAAGTAACCACCTCCCCCCCCACACCATCCTCCTCCTCTTCAATTCAACCTTGGAGAGCAATCACTAGAACCTTGCTTTTGGCAACTAAAGTCCAAAATAGGCAACTATTTCTAGGAGAGGGCGTCCTGTGACATGCCCATCCCACCCCCACACCTGCGATCCACTTTCCCCCAGTTTAGCTAATGCTCTTCATTCCTATCCCACCAGCACCCTTGCGCTTCAGCTGGGCGTACCCTCAACAGTAACTGTGTAGGTGTGGCGGATGGTGCCGTGCTCGTTGTGAGCGATGCACTGATATTCTCCATCATCATCTTCTGTCACATTGAGGATGCGGAGGGTTTTGTTGGAGTTCTCAAAGACCACCTGAGGAGAAAGCTTCAGCCTGTTCATATGGGCCCATTCTACAGTTGGGGTAGGGCTGCAGAAGGAGAAAAAGAGTGTGGTAAAATTGGCTTCTGCCTCTGCTTTGGCTAATGAATCTGATGGCTAAGAGGCATGTTGAGGTCCTCTCATTCCTACCCTCCTTCCAGCACTGCCAGCCATTGGCAGTAAGGCAGCAATGCCTAGCTGAGGAATCAACTAGTGTTGCCTGATTAAAAACAATCAGACTAGTTAAAATTTAGAAGAGTGCAAATACTGTAAGATTATATTAAAATAAGAACATGCAGAAACTTCCTCATTCCTGTTTCAGTGAGAAGGAATGCCTCTTCTGTGGTCATTCTGGTATAAAATATGTGCCCATCATTTTGAAAAGGATATACAGAAAGTACACATTTTAACTTAGAATCATTGGGTTGTATGTAGACTAAGATTCTTGCACTTTGTTTCTATTGAAATCAATCAGACTTAAGTCATGCTTAGGTTGCCCTTGCTTCCAGTGAGACCTAAGTTCAACTAATAAGGCCAGAACCAATACACATATGACATAAGTCCCATTGAACCCGAAAGCAATTATGTCTGAGTAGATGTGTAGGATTGCACTACATGGATCCAACCTATTATGTTTTTGCCATATCAGAATATGCAGATTTAATCCAGTGGTCATGAACATTAATCCATCAACTAAGCTTTCTTTAACTGGGTGACTTTGTTAATTGACAGCCGTCAAGCAAACTTACATGTTGAACACAATTTACCTAACAAGAGCTCCTCAAAAACATGGCTAGCAGTAGGCAGATCCCAGAAGGAGGCCAACGCTCAGGGCAGTCTATAGCAGCTTGCTGTTTTCTTAAGTTGCCAGGTCTTTTTACCAACTGCTAGAAAGCCCTTCTCCATCCCTCTGGGTAACAAAATCTCACCCTACCCTGCAATACATTCCAACTCTTTCTCCTGTCAGCATCAGGCAGGACTGGGGCAAAATGTGGTGGAAAATCCAACTGGAGACCCTTCCACACACAATGTTTAACATTGGACACAATTCATGAAGAAGTTCTCTGTTGCAGCATTGCTCCCATTTATCTGCCTGGAACTTGTATATGAATCCCCATTGGTGGATGAGCCTGACCCCCATTCAGTTGTTCCTAATGCTCTCAATTTTCCTTAACTGCCCTCACCTCAAATCTACCTCCTGAGGCAGCTATTTCACCTTGCCTCATGATAGAGTCACCATCCCATAATTAAACAAATTTTAATTATTGTACAATCTGGGGGAAGTGACCAGATTTCTTACAGAGAACATCTAGCTGGGCCTCCTCCAGACATGCACGAGACGAGACTCCCAGCTCCTGTCCCAACAAAACACCAAGTGTAGTGGTTTTTCCTGCCTCTTTGAGCTGCTCTTTATTGTTTTTATGTCACCCTCCAGACACTGCCCCAATGGCACATCTGCAATATAAACATTTAATAAACACATAGCCAAAGGGAATCACTGATCTCTTTTGTTGACCCTTTCTCTTCATCCTTGACAGCAAACTTATAACTGAAAGGCAGGATGAACTAAGTCACTCAGAGAAAGCTATGAGAAAGATGTCTCCCTGATTGTATAAATTGGTCTTTAGTCCTGCTTTTTAGTGCCTTTCCTACTTCCAAGCCTGGTCAAGGGATGGAGTGACTTCTGTGCCACCAAAGGGGGAAAAAGAGGCTACCCTGCCTGTAGGACTGTTCTCGGTGTGTCCAAGGAAAATTAAATTCTAGAATTCCTTCCTCCCTCCCTCACTATTTTTGCCTCCTGTATGGGTTAAAAGGCCTTGCAAGAAACAAAAAGCAAAGGTACTTCTGTTAAATGCAATTGCTTATCCTACAGATGAGTCATGGATTTTCTGGGAAGGATGAATAAGAGACAGAGGGCCAGTCCACACATCATGTGGGCCATGGTGGGCTGGTTTATCACTCACTCAACTATGCTGCTGTCAGCAGATGATCAGGTGCTTGCTGCATGCCATGGTTTGTTTTGCCCTTTGTCCTCCCACCTGCTCCCAGCATGTGTCTCAGGGATGTTTGCAGCACATCTTGCCTACATTCCCAGTGGGAGGCGATTTTCTTCTCTCCTTTGTTGCTTTGCAAAGTACATGTATTCACATATACATATGCATGCACGTGCATATATGCCATACTTTCAGAGTGGAGAGGTGTGCGGGTTACCTTACTCTTTTGGATGAGGTGGCCAAGGGTATTCTGTCTTTAATATTTAGCCAAAAAACAAGAAGAACAACAATCTAGACAGCTTGTTCCTCCTCCAAGCACAGCTCTGCAGGTTCTTGTGATTGACTTACCGCTGGATAACCATGTGCCCCACACAACTTGGGACTGTGGCATTTCAGAACGTGTATGTGTGAATAAGCTTTTCCTATTCCTGTTTTCATGAAGAAATTGCCCCTCCTGAATTAGCATAGTCCCAAACTGGGTGGGCCACACGCTTATTCAGATGCATGAAATTGCTGAAAAAGTTAGAAAATTCTCCTACTTTGGGGAAGGGATCAAAAGGAAAAAAAGCCTTTATGCTGACATTGAGACTTTTCTTCTTTTTTAACCCACTCTTCCACAGGTGAATTATGGCAGAAAAACAGAAGAGGGCAAAATCTTTCCTTTCCAAATTGTCATGTTCCCAAATGCAAGGGAATGTGCCTGCCCAAAAGTAAGACAATCCTGCATACTGGCAGAGCAGTGCTAACTCAGCTCACAGGGGAGAAAGCTGCTGCCAAATGAAGCACTGAGCTGGGGGTGGGGAGGGCAGGGGGCACTGCACAGAGCAGCTGCATTGTGCAAATCAGTCTTCCTGGTGGTGGAAAAACGGTCTACAAAAGAAAGTGGTGGAGAAGGCTGAGAGGTCGTGCCACAGAGGCCAGGAACAGGTGGGAGCACTAAGTGGAGAAGAAGCCACAGCAAGCCACAGAGTGCCAGATCATTTTTCTGGAGCAATGTGCGGCAGCCACCAAACAACCCACACACTGCAACTTATTTTCAGGGTGGCTTATTGTCCTGTGCAAGCCAGCCCATATTAAGTGGACTCTGCAGGCTTGCAACTAGCCAGTCAACCCTGTTGCCAGCAGAACTGGCTCTGGACGACCAAAAGGTGTGCATGTTTGAAGAAAGCCAGCATTGCCCCTGTGCATTAACAGAGGCATGGAGAAGCACCGGAGCACCCACTGAAATTCATAAGTAATGGATTTAAATGAGCGCCTCTTCCCATATGAACCTACTCGGCACCTTAGATCTGCATCTGAGGTTTTTCTGAAGGAGTCCCCTCCTCAGGAGATAAGGAGGGTGGCATCACAAAGACGTTTTTTGCAGAGGCACCCCGACTTTGGAATGAGCTCCCCAGAGTAGGATGCCTGGCACCATCTCTACATTCTTTTAGGTGCCAGGCAAAGACCTTTTTATTCCAACAGTGTTTTAATTGATAATTTGTCTTAAGTAGTATTTCAACTGTGGGGCATGTTATCAGTTCTGTGCATTTTATGTTTGTTTAATGTCTTATTATTATTTGTAATTTTTGTTTTTATACTGTATTTTATTCTGTATTTTCATTGTTGCAGCACGTCCAGGGAACCATATGGCTAATAGGGTGGGTTAGAAATCTAATAAATAAATAATTCAAAGCAACCAAGAGGAAGTTACACTTCCATGAGAACCCACTTATGGAAGTCACTGATACAGGAAAGCTGTGAAGAGAGGCAATTGCAGCTTGTACAAATCCACACTTATTGAATTATGATGTATACCTTAATGACTTTTAGCCAAGGAAGCCAGAGCCCTGCATTAGCTGGGCTGTTGGCAAGTAGTCATTACCAAAGGCTTCTCCATCAGTTCCATTATAACCTTCCTTACCAAACAGAGACAACCTCCCCTCCCTCACCCAGCTGGGAGTTGTAGTGCAACACAGCTGAAGGAGACCAGGGTTGGAAAACAGACCATACAGTCTATCGGGCTGCAAACTTCCCCCATTACCTGGGAGTAAACCCTGCTGAACTCAATAGGAGTTACTTCCAAAGGTTGCACAGCCAGAAGCCTTTCCCGCAGTTTGATCCTTTGGCAGCTGTTATCCAGAGTACTTACAATCCTGCCACAATGCATTCCAGGACGAGGGGCTCTCCCAGCAGCGCCATGTATGTGCTGTGCTTCTTGTTTGGCACAATTAGGATCGGTTTCTGGTGTGAGAGAGTGTTGGCTGTGGAAGAGAAAGAAGGCGGAGCTAGGAGTAACACTGGCAACTGAGCCCATCTCAGCCTGAATTATTACAGCCTGCTAAGGTTGTGCCACCTTTAATAGAAGCCAGTCCTCTATTTGAATTGCTGGCAGAGAGGACTGTCTTCTTTTTGAAGGGATCTTTTATTTGAAGGGCTGTTCAGCCCAAGCCCATATAAAGCCAAAGGACCACCAGCAGGGAGATCCAGGCCTTGGAGTTGGCAAGCAACATCTAGCACATGGGCAGCAACCTGCAGAAGGCATACACATGGTCTCCTGGTCACAGTTTGCCACACTATAGGCTATATTCCAAGTGGGTTCAACTGAGGGGAGACCTTTGAAACAAATGGAGCTTACGTTAGTCACAACTTGTATTCCATTTATTTCAATGGGTCTGCTCTATGTAGGACTATGTAGGCCTTGTTCATTTGGCTCCTAGATCTCATCTTTACCCAGGAAAAGCCACAGGAAAACAGATCTCCCATCACTGCTAGTAATATATGCTTTGGCCTTAAGTATCTCTCCTTGGTCACTCCAACTTCTGCAATGTCTCTTGCTATGGCTGAAAAAGGCACTGTTCTTCTGGTCATCAAGTCATTTCCCTCAGTAACCCAGCTGTGAATCTATCCTCCAAACCCCCTGCCTTTTCATTAATATGCTTGTCACTCAGAAATAGGGACAGACAGACCTGACCATCCCAGTGTCACAGAGGTTGTCAGGTTTTTAGTATTAAGCATTTCTTGTCTCACTTCAATAAGTTCATTAGTCAACTTCTTTAACCTGCATGAAAATGTGTACTTCTTTTTAGTCCATTTCCCCAATGAATGCATTTTTCCAATTATTTTTCACTGATCAATTGCAGTTTTGTCTAAAATATACGTTTTGTGAGCATTTTTCTCTAACATGCTTTTCCCTTCTTTCTAATGAGATGCATTACTCATTAAAAGAAATTAGGAGAGTAAGTACCCGGAGGAGGGCTTTCTCTGCGTTGCACCCAACCTATGGAATTCACTCCCCAAAGAGGTCCGCCTGGCACCGTCGTTACTGGTTTTTCGGCGCCAGGTAAAGACCTTTTTATTTAAACATCATTTCAATTGTTAAAACATATGATCTGGCCTGGGCAACTTCTTCTTCCTTCTCTTTCTCCTCCTATATTTTTATTTTATACTGATAATTTTAATTTTGTATTTGTAAATCAAGGTATTTTTTTGTATTTTTATATTTAATGGTAATTTATTATGTACTATTGTATTTCAATGTATTTTATCATGTTGTAAGCCGCCCTGAGGTTTCGGCAAGGGGCGGCATAGAAATGTTATAATAATAATAATAATAATAATTACCCAGCTCAGAAAAATGCCCATTTCAGGACACCATTCTGTCTTGGTTTGCATATTGGTTTGTGAGGCATGAATGTTCAGAATTTGTATTAAAGATGACATGAACAATTCTCACTTCTCCCTCCTTAGAACCAATCGAATCCACTTGCTAACACCTCATTTTTGTCCTGTCCATCCCATCTGAGACATCTGTCCTCTTGGCACAGAGTTCATTTTATTGCAGCCTGCTATATGCATATTTACACAAAGAACCCCACTCGAGCAGTGTACAAATACTGAACATCAGAAACCAGATGTGGTATTATGGAGCAACTGCCAGGCAACTCATGCCAGAAAACCAGCATCAGTGGATTCTGGAAAAGACTGAAGGTGACCATTAATTTTAGTGGTAACCTGTAAGTCTTTCAGGATTGGGGAAGTTCAGGCCTGTGGGTGAGATCCAGCCCACCTGGGATCCCAATCCAGTTTTCAGAGGTTCTGCTGATCGCCCCACTCCCTTTCCCCAATTCCTGTTCATTTGGTGGCCTCATGAATGCCCTTCATTCTTAAAGATTGCAATTTCTAAGGTTTAGTTACTCACCAAAAGGACTTTTAGCTACAGTATTCTGAGTTGGAGTTGGGCGGTTTTTTGCTTTTACTTTTGGTAGGAAAGGGGCTGTCACACTTCTTTGCATTTTGGAATGTAACTCCCAAGAGCTTATCTGAAGCTGAAATAAGCCCACAGGCCAAAAAAGACCCTGTACTCATCCACACACAGTTGCTTCATTTCCCAGCCCCAGCCTTGTACTATCCCCAAAAACTCACACTTTCTCAGTGAATATCCTGGCCATAAGTCAGGCTGGGTAGACAAAAGGTCAGGGTAGAAATGAGGCTGATGTGCCTCTGTAATAACCAGCTACTTCTTCACCCCAGAAGGTGGCTGCCCCTTTGGAATTCAGAGTCCCTGGAAGACTTACTGGCAATGACTTTTAATTCAATGGGCTCCTTCTGGATGATGATTCGAGGGCCCTGGAAATGGGCATTGCAAATGTAGTCCGGCCGGCTGTCAGTCATCTGCACATTGGCAAAGTACAGATTCCCATCCTGGCCCATGGTGACTCGTTCGTCCTGTGTGATGTGTTCGATCTCTGGGAGGGGGAGAAGAGTAGGGGACAGAAAAGAGGGGTGAGAGGGCACGGAACAGCCAGCCACATCTTCCATGCACGCACACAGCTGATGACTCAGCCAGCACTCAAGAAAGAAAGCAATTGGACCCCTTTCCCTCAGAGGCACTGGCAGCAGTGATAGGAAACTGAAGGTAGCATGCCAGACTTCACGTTTCAGAAGCCCCTGCTGCCCTGGCTAAAGGCCAGGAATGCTGGGAGTTGTAGTCCAAAACATCTGACAATCTCCTTTCTGCCCACTCTTAAGCTAGGTCATGGAGAATTTAGAGGAAGCAAATACACAAGGTATATAATCAGAGGAACTCGCTTATGTATTGTGAGTTTCCTTACTTCAGAACTGAACTTATGGCATTCAAACAAATACCAGAAAAGAATCCCAGGACTAACCCTGACTCAAATTAACCCTGAGTGTGCTGAATTGGACTAAAGTCCTCTCTGCTCAAGCCTTCCCCTTCCAAAAGAGTGGCATCTGGGGAGCTCAGAAACAGGGTTGAAACAAGGCAGCCCTTCCCTTCATTTTTTCATCACAAGAATTCTCTGGCTAGCAGGACCTGGGCTCTGGATCTATACAGGCAAGTTGCTCCATGAGACAAAGAGCAATATGGTAGCCTCTCTCCCAGTCCATGTAGAGAAGCTGATTGGGCTACCCATTTCATCTTGCTTCAGTCTTACTGACAGGAGTGCATCTACTACCAGGATCTAATAGCTCCTGGCCAGTTGAAGGAGTCAGAACAGGTTGTATGACTGACACAGAGCTCCATCCTCCAGAAGAGAGAAATGACCCAATCCAATCAGGCAGTAAAGAACGTAGCAGTCAGATTCATTTCCTTACAATGGAAACTCCCTAACCACATGAGGTATCATGTTTACTGCTAGCTCATTTGGTTTAATGCAAAGCACTCCTGCCTCAATTAGGTCTGCCACAATCCCATCAACAGACCTCTAGAAGGGCCTTCCATGGTACTCACTGCTATTGAGCCAGTAGATTTTGGGGGGGACAGCACTGGTGGGTGGGTTGCAGGGTAGGACCGTACTGGTCCCTTCTTCTGCTGTTATGGGTGCCACTTTCTCCTTTGGCCACTGTGGGGCACCTGAAAGGCAAGAATGACAGAAGGTAAAGGAAGTCCTTGGTAAGCAGGGGATCACAGGTGGGGGAACCCATCCAAGATGGCCACTGGAGAACAAGAGGCATTGTTTGCACTGTCCTCTGGGTTGGGTTCATTACACATCCAGGTCCTCAGGTCCCTTGGGAAGACTGTGTGTCTTCTGATTGTTACACAGTGAGTAGAAATGCCTACAGTGGCACTGAGTCTATAGCAGAGGTGGAAAACAAGAGCAGAGTGATGGGCCTGGATGCTCATTGCCTGCCAGGAAGTATACATTGATGAGGGCATCCAATAAAAAGAAGAAGAAAAGAAGTGGGGGAGAAGGGGATGGAGGGAAATTAACCTGCCAGAGTCTGTACTGACTTATGGTCTCCTGGAGTGGCGGGCCGGGGTCAGGGAATCTATGCAAGCCCCACAACACGACATCAGGCCAAGCTACATCAATGCATCATGTGCAGCTTTGATTTCTAGTTTTCTTTAGGTAGTTATAAGTGAGAGGCGAATTTTTTGGAGTGCATCCAGATAAAGGGTATTATCCAGTTGTACCTGGAGTCTCACCACCTTCTTCCATACAGCACGGGAAAGGGAGTGATGAAAGATCCCCCTCTCCACATTATACTGCTCAAGTTCAGGGGGAGATAAACAGGGGAGCAGACAAGCAGCCGTTACTGAGGCTCAGGGGCAGCTCACAGTCCACAAGGGCTGCAGTCTCACACTACTGTGTTATTGGGGCGAGGGAATATATTCCAGCCTCCTGGCTATACAAGGGCACATAACCCTGCATGGCCTCCAATGCGTGTGCTGCTACAGCAGGTGTGTGACATCCCCAGGCCCAGCATTCTCCCATCCCACAGCCCACGAAGCAACTCAAGGGCACCGGGCGAAGGGAAGGGGAGTGGTTTCCCCCTCTGCAGCTGTCGGAGGAAACCGAGTAGCAGAGGCAGCATGAAGCCAGCAGAGAGTTTGCGGCTGAGCAGCGATCTGAACCCAGAACATCCCGCTCCACAGCTCATCTTGGAAGCGGCTCTTCCTCATCCTCCTCAACATGCCCACTGCTGCCACAAATAATGTGTGGTAAAAGATGGAAGGATTTATTTGGAATGAAACAAAAATTAAAAGGAAGCCCCAGTTTCGGGAAACAAAGAGGATGTTGTCAACAGGCTATAAAATGCCATACAGACACACACCCTTAATAAACCCTTTCTGGCATCCATTCCCTTTGGTGGTTCTAGTTAGAATCAATAATGTGCCTCCTCTTGCCTCTCCTGGCACATCCTTTATTTTTTTATTTTCTTACTCCTCCTTCAGCAGGCACGGGAGGGGCAGGCTGGGCCAGAGAGAAAGAGTGGGGGAGGGGCCCACCGAGGTGCTGATGGAGAGGGCTGGCAATTACATCACCCAGCACCACAAAACCATGGCAACCGTTTCTGTGGAAACAGGAGCAACCGGCTGCACTCCGGGGAGCCCAGGCAGGTAAAAGGGGAAAAAGAGCCAAAGATACGACACATTTATTGCGAGGGAGAGGGGATTAATTTATTGCCCACAGAACTGGCGTGTGTGTGTGTGTGTGTGTGTGTTTGTGTGTGTACTAAACTGCAGCCATTGTGGGACCAGAAATAAGCTGCATCAGAAAACCTCAGGCAAGACATGTTACAATGCTTGTGTGTGCGCCTGTGTGTGCGACGTAGTTAGTGCTGGAGGATATGGGAAGAGGATTGTGGCATCCCCACAAAAAGGGGGGCTGAATCCAGGCAACTCAGGCTAAGGCATTCTGGAAGGGGTGTGCAGGTGTGCAACTCACTCTCGGCTATGATTTCACTTTCAGAGCTCATGGCACTGCCCAGGATATTGCTGGCGTAACACTGATAGGTCCCTTTGAAGGAGGTGTCCACGTTCCCATTGGTAGTGATGATCAGGGTCCCAGAGCCTTTCCGCTGTGTTATCCCTGGCATTCCATGTGGATCAAACTTTTTCCCATCCTTGGTCCAGCGAAACCTGTCAAAGAGGAGAATGTACAACAGCATTAAAGGAACACATACTAGAGAAGAAGCTGGGAAGGAAATCCAATTTCTGTTGAGCCAGCCCTGGCAGAGGAGGGATGGCTGCATGAGCATGCAGGTGGAGGCAGCATCTGTTGGGTTAAAATTTGGGAGAACTGAGAGATGCTGCTATCAGTTCCATGCAAAGGTGGATGATAAAAATAGGATGACAGAGAAGAAGGAAGATTGATTGAAGAGTGGCTTAGTGCATTGGGCAGGAGGGTACAAAAAGCAGGGGTTTCACCAATCACAAATGGGAGGTTCGATTGGGGAGATGCCTGTGGGAGCGTTAGGGTTACAGGGTGAAAGTCAGAGGGCCAATAATTTCTCTCACATACAGAAGAGCTGGGATGAATACAAGGAAGTAGATTAGGTGAAGAACTGAGGTCAGAGTAAGGTCAGGGACATTACTGGAGCAGCATATGAAGAAATAATGGAGACAGGAAGAACAGGATGAAACAGAGCTTAGAGTACTTCATTCTCATATCCACTCATAACTTCTGGAAATTGGTACCTGAAGCAAGCCAGCCCCAAGGGCTGTTCAGTTCTAACTTAGAAAAGAATGTCAGAGCACTCAGAAATGTAGTGCAAATTAGCAGAATTTCAGCAAGTGTACATGGTTTGTAAAAAACCCCCAATACTTTCTGAGTGCTTTATTCCCAGTCTGGAATGTATATCTTGGTAAAATCTGGAATGTTGCTTGATGCAGAAGAGACAATATCATATCTTGAAGGGATGACCTCTGTAAAGGGATGTCTCTACCAGTCAAATGTAGCATGATTGCTTTGGGGTGCTGCTGCTCCTGCTTCCTGGAGAATCACCCCCTGCTATTATCCCTTTGCAAACTAGAAACCGTAGCCCTGTTCAGAATGCTATACGTGCCATACATGTGTGAACAAAGCTGCATCCCATCATCCTGCCCTGAAGCCACATGCATCAAATAGCCCTGCCTCCTGGCAGCCATGGGTATAGTATGAACATCTGGACACATGTGGCACTCACACAACTCTATGCACAGAGACTTCAGTGCAATTTGAAGTTGTATGTGTGACGGTTCCTCCCCATATGTACCACAGTGCAGTGGTCCTTTTTGAAAGGCAGTGGATCAGCATTGCACTCCAACTGCCATGCCTCCAAGGAAAGGGCCAAAATGAGGGCAACTGCGCTGATCCATATCAATAAACTCATTCTAGCAGTTTTCATCTCTGTCTGGAACAGATCTTTTATGAAGTTATTCGGGTGTAATTGCACATTCAAGAGCAAACCACTGTAGAACACCGAGGTAGCTTACAACTCCACAGTACTGCCAATGTCACCTCTCCTTACATTCCAGCTGTTGTGAGGACTACAGCTAAACTCAGAGGAAAAAGAGAATTCTGAGAGGAGGATGAGGGTTGGCAGAGGTTGGTGTTCCTTCCCTGGCTCCACTACACCACCAGGGGGCAAAGCTAATCAGTGTGGACAAGCTCCTTTTTTTAATAAGTTTTATTTGAAATTATAATCCTAAAAAACAAAAAGAAAACTACAAACAACATCCATCATCAAAAACATCGAGCCCGCGGGGTCAGCCCCCACACCCTTCTTTTTCCATTTATGATAATTTAAAAAACATATTTAAATCTATGCCAAGTCCTGTTTCTCTAGCCAATAGTAAAAAGAGTCCCAAGTTTGACAGAAGTAGTGTGGACAAGCTCCTTGATCATTCTTCAGTACAACAGGTGAAACATCCTTCTTTAGACTGCTGCATGAGGGGATGGGCTGCAGTGGCCCTGCATTTTCCAAGAGCTTCACTAGCTTCCTGTTTCTATCCAGGCACATTTCCAAGCCCTTAACAGCTCGGAAAATGAGTAACCAAAAGGCCACAAATTTCTGTATGAACTTACCTGAGTGTTAAAATCACCAAAAGAGGCCTTTCTCTAGATGTGTTCTTCCACCACTCCCCAAGATTCAAATTAGGGGGCTGAGGTCAGTGAGAGTTACTTACAGGGATAAAGTTTAAGATGTGCAGTGTCTTGTTGATCCTAATGCAGAGGATGCATGTGAAGGATTATTCTGTTGCTAAGCTGCTTGGTATTACAGCTTTTGGCCTGAAAGTGCAGAACTGGTGTCTGGAATCAGGGATGGGCTAAATGTGGGCTGCTACTTGGGAAATCACTCCCGACCCTCATGATGGACTTTGTGTGGGCAGGTGGCCCATCGATTCAGAGAGCTAGTGTCCAGCTTGTTCTGACTGGAGTTGCATTTCTCCTAAAACATGGTAATAGGCCTCGAGATGTTGTTGGCCTGTGATTCCTATCAGCCCTGGCCAGCATAGCCAATGGGGAGGGGTGATGGGAGTTGTAGTCCAACAGCTTCTGGAGAGCTGCACATTCTTTATCCTCACACTAAAGGACTGAGTTGGTAGTCCAGGAGAACTTTTGGATCCAACATTGCCACTGGTTGCTCTGACAGGCTTTGTGGCCAAGGTGCCCCTCTCTTCAGTTTAAGCTGGTGTGCAAGCTATGACTTTCATGGACAGATAGTCTGGCCACATTCAGCTAGGCTCTAGGATTGACTAATGTAAAGCACTGTACAAGGGGCTGGCTCTGAAGACAGTTTGGAAGCCAATTAGTTTAAAGGGCAAGCACTAGACGAGGGATGGCGAACCTTTTAGAGACTGAGTACCCAAACTGAAACCCACAACCCACTTATTTATCGCAAAGTGTCAACACTGCAATAAAACCCGAATATGATGCCGCAGATTCAAATATGCCAAGGGGACAGCACAACATTAATTAGGACATCTCTTTGTTAAATCTTAGATATTAAATTTCAATTTTCATAAGAAAACTCAAAGCTAAAATCTTGTGTTAATAAAAATGAATGTATTAGCACTCACAGCCAGTCCAAGCAAATATATATATATATATCATTGGCAGCACACTGACCGGCCATGAGAAAGCTCAGACGAGACACAGCTAATGAGTTGCAGCTCATGACATCATTGCCTGGTGCCACTACTCCTTTCCAAGCATGCGCGTGGCCCCTATGTGCACTGTTATCTGATGCTTGGCTGCTGGGACAATGCTGGGGTGACTTGGCTCACGTGCCGACAGAGAGAGCTCTGCATGCCCACTGTGGCACGCATGCCATAGGTTCGCCACCACTGCACTAGACGAAGCTCCAGGCCATGGGAGATGTTGTTGTTGTTAGTTGCGAAGTCGTGTCTGACCCATCGCGACCCCATGGACAACATTCCTCAAGACCTTCCTGTCCTCCACCATCCCTCAGAGTCCACTTAAGCTCACACCAACTGCTTCAGTGACTCCATCTAGCCACCTCATCCTCTGCTGTCCCCTTCTTCTTTTGCCATCTATTGTTCCCAGCATTAGGCTCTTCTCCAGTGAGTCCTTCCTTCTCATTAGGTGGCCAAAGTATTTGAGTTTCATCTTCACTATCTGGCCTTCTAAAGAGCAGTCAGGGTTGATCTCCTCTAGGACTGACCGGTTTGATCGCCTTGCGGTCCAAGGGACTCGCAGGAGTCTCCTCCAGCACCACAATTCAAAGGCCTCAGTCCTTTGGCCCTCAGCTTTCCTTATGGTCCAACTTTCACAGCCATACATTGCAACTAGGGAAACCATAGCCTTGACTATACGCACTTTTGTTGGCAGGGTGATGTATCTGCATTTTAGTATGCTGTCTAGATTTGCCATAGCTTTCCTCTCCAGGAGCAAGCATCTTTTAATTTCTTGGCTGCAGTCACCATCTGCAGTGATCTTGGAGCCCAGGAAAATAAAATCTGTCACTACCTCCATTTCTTTCCCATCTATTTGCCAGGAAGTGAGAGGACCGGATGCCATGATCTTAGTTTTCTTAATGTTGAGTTTCAAGCCAACTTTTGCACTCTCCTCCTTCACCCGCATCAAGAGGCTCTTTAGTTCCTCTTCACTTTCTGCCATGACAGTGGTTTCATCTGCATATCTGGGGTTGTTGATATTTCTCCCAGCACTCTTAATTCTAACTGGTGATTCATCTAGCCCCGCCTTTCTCATGTTGTGCTCTGCACATAAGTTAAATAGGCAGGGCGACAGTATACAGCCTTGCCAAACTCCTTTCTCAATTTTGAACCAATCAGTGGTTTCATGTCCAGTTCTCACTGTTGCTTCTTGACCTGCATATAGGTTTTTCAAGAGACAAATAAGATGGTCTGGTACTCCCATCTCTTTAAGAACTTACCACAATTTGTTGAGAGCCACAAAATCAAAGGCTTTAGCATAGTCAATGAAGCAGAAGTAGATGTTTTTCTGAAACTCCCTAGCTTTCTCCATGATCCAGCGTATGTTGGCAATTTGATCTCTAGTTCCTCTGCCTCTTTGAAATCCTGCCTGTACTTTTGGTAGTTCTTGGTCCACATACTGCTGGAGCCTAGCTTGTAGGATGTTGAGCATAACTTTGCTAGCATGTGAAATGAGTGCAATGGTGTGATAGTTTGAACATTCTTTGGCATTGCCCTTCTCTGGGATGGAAATGTAAACTGACCTTTTCCAATCCTGTGGTCACTGTTGAGTTTTCCAAATTTGCTGGCATATTGAGTGTAACACTTTTACTGCATCGTCTTTTAAGATTTTGAATAGCTCAGCTGGAATACTGTCACTTCCACTAGCTTTGTTGTTGCTCAGACTTCCTAAGGCCCATTTGACTTCACATTCCAGGATGTCTGGCTCGAGGTCAGTGACCACCCCATCGTGGTTATCAGGAACATTAAGCTCTTTCTTGTATAGTTCTTCTGTGTAATCTTGCCACCTCTTCTTAATCTCTTCTGCCTCTGTTAGCTCCCTGCCTTTTTGGTCCTTTGTCATGCCCATCTTTGCATGAAACATTCCCTTCATATCTCCAATTTTCTTGAAGAGATCTCTGGTCCTCCCTATTCTATTGTTTTCTTCTATTTCTTTGCACTGTTCATTTAAGAAGGCATTCTTATCTCTTCTAGCTATTCTCTGGAATTCTGCATTCAATTGGGTGTATCTTTCTCTTTCTCCTTTCGCTTCCCTTCTTTCCTCAGCTATTTGTAAAGCTTCCTCAGACAGCCATTTTGCTTTCTTGCATTTCTTTTTCTTTGGGATGGCTTTAGTTGCTACCTTTTGTACAATGTTGCAAACCTCCGTCCATAGTTCTTCAGGCACTCTGTCTATCAGATCTAATTCCTTAAATCTATTTGTCACCTCTACTGTATATTCATCAGGGATATGATTTAGGTCATACCTGAGTGGCCTAGTGCTTTCCCCTACTTTTCAATTTAAGCCTAAATTTTGCAACCAGAAGCTCATGATCTGAGCCACAGTCAGCTCCTGGTCTAGTTTTTAGTGACTGTATAGAGCTTCTCCATCTTTGGCTGCAGAGCACATAGTCAATCTGATTTCTGTGTTGACCGTCTGGTGATGTCCATGTGTAGAGTCATCTCTTGGGTTGTTGGAAAAGAGTGTTTGTTATGACCATCGTATTCTTTTGACAAAATTCTTCCAGCCTGTGCCCTGCTTCATTTTGTACTCCAAGGCCAAAATTGCCTGTTATTCCAGTTATCTTTTGGCTTCCTGCTTTAGCATTCCAATCCCCCATGATGATAAGGACATCATTTTGGGGGGTTAATTCTAGAAGGTGTTGTAGGCCTTCACAGAACTGGTCAACTTCAGCCTCTTCAGCACCAGTGGTTGCGGCATAGACTTGGACTATTGTGATGTTGAATGGTTTGCCTTGGATTCGAACTGAGATCATTCTGTCATTTTGGAGGTTGTATCCCAGTACTGCTTTTCCTACTCTTTTATTGACTATGAAGGCTACTCCATTTCTTCTGAGGGATTCTTGCCCACAGTAGTATACCTGATGGTCATCTGAATTAAATTCACCCATTCCTGTCCATTTTAGTTCACTGATTCCTAAGATGTCGATGTTCAGTCTTGTCATCTCTTGTTTGACCACATCCAGCTTGCCTTGATTCATGGATCTTACATTCCAGGTTCCTATGGAGTATAGATCTTTGCAGCATCGGACTTTCCTTTCACCACCAGATACATCTGCAACTGATTGTCCTTTCGGCTTTGACCCAGTCGCTTCATTCTTTCTGGCGCTACTAGTACTAGCCCTCTGCTCTTCCCCAGTAGCATATTGGGCACCTTCCGACCTGAGGAGTTCATCTTCCGGCATCTTATCTTTTTGCCTTTTGGTACTGTCCATGGGGTTTTCATGGCAAGGATACTGGAGTGGGTTGCTGTTGCCTTCTCCAGTGGATCACGTTTTGTCAGAGCTCTCTGCTATGAGCTGTCCGTCTTGGGTGGCCCTGCACGGCATAGCTCATAGCTTCATTGAGCTACGCAAGCCCCTTCGCCACGACAAGGCAGTGATCCATGAAGGAGCCATGGGAGATACCTCAGTCCAATTTAACATCACTCCCCTTCCTCCACTGCTGAGTGTAATCTCTATCATTGTAACAGCACCCTGTTCAGTCCTCTCATTGTTGGCATGTCTCCCATCAGCCATTGTACCTGAACTTCAATGTCAAAATGTAGCTCTGCCTGCCTGTGTCACCAGCGTCTTCCTCACTGGTACACACATAAAGGCTGAATGGTTGGAGCTGCTCCTCCAGTTGCCGCTCTGTGGTAGTTGCATACAAGGACTGTGGAAAGCATATTCCTGGGTTCAGACAACATGACAAGCCATGGTGGTACTCAGAAACCACAGAAAAAAGCACTATTCCTTATTACGGTTTCTAAAGAAGGAACTTACCATGGTGAAATATCACAGCTGGTCTCAGACAGAATGCCAAGCCAACAATGGTTAAAACAAACAAACAAACAAACAAACAAACAAACAAACAAACAAACAAACAAACCTCATGGCTTTTGACATTGTCTGAACTAGCCATGGTGAGGACAACCAATTTGTACACTTTAAAAGAAGACTAGACAAATTCATGGAGGAGAAGGCTGTTGAATGCTACCAATCTGGAAGGCTCTATGCCACTCCCAGCACCCGAGGCAGTACACTAGGTACACCAGCTGCTGGAGAACACATTACACCTGAAGGACACTAAGCTGGGAAAAGCTCATGCTGGAGGAGCAATTTGAATCAAGAATTTTCCCTGATTGATGTCCCAGTTTCCAGGTTATCACAGGAAATGTTTTGCATGTACACATTGAAACCCAACATGTACAAAACAATCCAAATAGCTAACTTGGATGTGTAGGTTTTCCACACAATCCCCTGCTCTGCACCTGTTTCCTCTGAGCTAGCCTTCACTGGTGATGTTGGTATTTCTCCAGATCAATCCACCCAGAAAGATGTCTTCACAGAGAAGCACATGGTCCTGCTTACGCTAACATGCTCCCACAGGAAACCCCTTTCCAGTGTAAAAAATGTAGATGCCTCCAGTTTAATTTAAGGGAGTGCCTTGAGGTGAAACTAGACCAGGCCTTGAGGTGAAACTAGACCAGGGCTGGGAGATCCCTGATCAGATCTGCTGCCACTTTTGCCTTTGTTTAAAGGCAACCCGGGGGTGGGGGCAGCTGAGGCTAAATTGGACTAAAGCTGCAGTGCGAAGGGGCGGGTGGGTCTCACCTTTCCACTCCATGTTATGTCTCCAGTTGTTCCCCACCCCTGAAAGAGCACGTATGATAACACATCAGTGACCTGTGTTTTTCTGCTTCCACAGCTGACAAAATCTTGCTTGGGGCTGCAGGTGCAGGGAGCAATTTCAACTAGAGAAACTGCCTGGATGGGAAGGGGAGTCTCCTTATAAATAAGCACCAAAAATAAAGGTTAAACCATCAACATCATCCCTCTCCCCATTTAACTCCCCTCTGCCCCTGCTCTCTCTCCCTGTGTCTACTTTTCAACCAAGGACATAATCCAGTTACAGATTTCCCATCTTGCATCCAGTTGGTTCCCCAGGTATCATACATTTTTGACAACACTACCGTGAAGACACGTGATATTCCCTTCCGAGGGGAAACAACATAACTTTTCCCATACTCACATCACAGGTGGATTCCCGGTGGCCTCGCATTTCAAGGTGACCTCATCATTGGGGAACACAACAATCTTCTTCTCTGGCTGCTCTTTGAATTCAGGGGGCTGTTGCACTGCAGAAGGGAGAGGCGGGCAGGCCAGTGAGCAAGCAGAAGCCTCAAGGCACAAGGAACCTGCACCCTGGAGTCATCCCCCTATCCAAGCATGCTGCAAGAGCTTTATCTTACTGGAAGATGTGACAGGGACCGAGCCATCCCAACTGCACCCTGAAGAAGCCCCCTCCTTACAAGGCACTCACCCACCAGTTCTTGATTTCTTCTTTCCCCACCCTGCTCCCATCCAGCACAACTGCAGCCCTGGCCCCAGCCCTCACCCCAGCCCAACCATAAGCACCCATTTCATGGAAGACTCACAGTTTGTCTGATCAACTGTTCCAGCAAAGAAGCAATAGAAACAAGAGAGAGGAGAAGAGGGGGGAGAGAGAGAGAAGAGATAAGTGTTTGTTAGCGACCATTCCACTAACAGCATGGATATACAAATGTGCATTCCATGTGTGTCTGGCTGGACAAAACGTAAGCACTGCCAGCCGTGAGGCTGCCAGATGAACATGTTTGAGGTGAGAAGCGAGAGTTGGCAGGATTCTAGTGGGTGTTAATTTGCACAGATGTGAAGCAATCGGGTGTGAGCTTGCAGTGTGAATGAGTGCAAGTGGGCAAGGCAGCCAGACGTCTGCATGTAGCCTCCAGTGTGCAAGATGGCTGCATTTGTGTGCAAGCGAGAGTGTGTGAGAGAATTCAAAGCAAGAGGGCGTGAATGCAGCACTGTGCAGCAGGCATGCGGTAATGAGTGAGAATCTGCTTGTGGAAGCAAGACAACTACAGACAACTCATGTGGCAAAATGGGGAACAGAACATCATTGTCATCACTATTACAATCGTCTCTCATCTTTTTCCCCTCTAAGGAACCAAAGTGAGCTTACATGATTCTCCTCTTCTCTATTTTATCCTCACAACAGTCCTGTGAGGTAGGTCAGACTGGGAGTCAGTAACTGGCCCAAAGTCACCCCGTGAATTTCATGACTGAGTGGGGAATAGAACACATGGGCTCCTGGCTGTAGAAGCTTCCTCGGACTCCCCACTGGGAAGTCCCATCCCAGAAGTCTTAACCACCACACCACACTGGCTCTCCAACCAGCTCGTGCTGGCTTTCCCTTAGTCTGGTTACTGATGGCCAAAGGGTGCTTGACTAGTATTCCGTTTGGTCATTCTTCTAAGTCAAACCCAACCCCAGGACAAAACCAGAGATAGTTTTTCTTTTTCATGTTCTGCCACAGCTTGAGAAGAAACTTATAAAGCTACAGACGTGGGATTCTGAGGGAACCAGTTTGACCTTGTTGTAAATTGGTGTGCTTTCTTCTGGGAAACTGTCCCCGTAGATCAAGGATGCACACACTTTTTGCTCCAGGGACCATGTCCAGTGTCACTGGGGTGTGTGAACATGATTGTACATGCACAGACACAGACATAGGACCATCTGCATGCACGTGCACACAGAAGTGGACCGCTTTGGGGTCACTGCTTTGGCTCTGCTAACTGCAGTGCCGGGAATTTTTCCCACTCCCCAGCTGATCACCTGTGTGGCCAGGGAATGACGGTGGGGAGACCACAAGCAAGCTGGGCTGCATCAGCACCCATGAGCTCCTTGCTGTGGAAGCTTCCTCGGACTCCCCACTGCTAGGAGAAGGCATGTTTCCTCATAAGAAAACAATAATGCTAACAGAACCAGAGACCAGGCAGGCTGAACTTTCCTCCCCAATCAAATGTCATTTTGGGAGATTTAGTAAATAAAAAACAGGATTTGTTTTATCAACATGTTGGGAAAGAATTTATGTCTTTATCGCAAGCCAGCTAGGAATGTGTCAGAGAGGCAGCTGTCTTCTTTTCTAACATCTCACCCGGGTGAGTTCTGCAGCATTTTGCTCCAATGACACTGTCCTTGTTGAGTTCTCTCTTTGTGACACACCACAGCATGTGTCACTTGAGGGGCGATGTGGGAGTGCGGGGGGGAGCTGTTGTGCAGAGGATCCTGTCTTGGGGCAATGCAGGTGGACATGATGCCATTTCAGAACATCTCAGGCTTATACCAATACAAAGAGGACAAAAGGGCTCAAATGGACAGGGAGTTGGCCAATGTGAAGTCTGAAAAAAACTTGCACTGCTGCCACTGGCGGGTGTGTGTGTGTGTGCGCGCGCGCACATGCACGGCACAAGCAAAAAGGGAGAGGCACAAGTAGACATTGCTGGTTTGGAGGACTGAATATGGTGCACTGAGTGACACAGACATGCAAGGATGGCGAGCCTTATTTCCCAACTCAAATGTCTGATAGGGCAATTAAGGTTATAGGAAGCTGCTGTATACGGGTCAGACAGTTGGTCTTTCCAGCTCAGTATTGGTGACACTGATTGGCAGCAGCTCTCCAGGCTTTCGGGCAACAGGCTTTTCCTGCCCTGCCTGAACTGAACTTGGGATCTTGGCACAGCTGACATCACTCTCTCAGTGGATATCTTGTGGGAAAGGCACCTGCCTGTTCTGGGGACGGTGAGGTGGGTGAGCAGTCTTGGAGAGCAGGTGGCTGCCCCCCTGTGGCACTGAGGAGGACGGAGCACAAAGGGAGAGGGCTGGGCTGGGCTGGGCTGGGCTGGGCTTCTCTCGGACTTTTAACCGTAGATGGCGAAGCTCTTTGCAACAAGGAGAGAGACATGGCTGAAGAACAAACAGCACTGCCTGTGAATGTTGCAGATCGAGCTGTTGTTCAAAGGCACCATTACAGGAGAAGACGGAAAAGTTGGAAGCCTTATGAGGGGTGTGCACTGTGTAAAGAAGAACAAGCACTGCAAGCGTTCCTTTAAGCCAGACCAGCCTGAATGGAGGGCATAGTGAGGTGCTTGCTGATGAGCCACACTCCGGTAGAGGCCCACTGTTGGGCGCCCCTGGGAGTCACTCCCCCTCTTGGCTCTTGCCCTCTGTTGTTCACCTGCCTCTCGCTCTGGCCAGCAGAGGAGAAGCTGAGAAGTGGGAGCAGTGGCTGCCACTGCCTCCTGGCTCATCCAGCAAGCATGTGGCAGCACTGAGGAGAAGGCGGAGCTGGAGAAGGCAAACACACAGAGGGGCCTTGAAATCCCTGCCGTGGGGCTGCATTCAGCCCTCCAGAGGCAGGGAGTGCTCTTTGGGTCAGCACAGCAGCCCAGCCAGCCTCCTGTCTGCCCCTCCCCACAAGCCCCTCTAATACAAGCTCAATTGATTCCTGTAGGAAGCATTGCATCTGGTTGAGTCAGCGACAGGTTGGAGAGAGAGTCGAATCCAATTAGGTGAGGCGAAGGGGTCTCTTGGGATGCTCTTGCCTGCTCATCCAGACATGAGGGGAGAGGGAGGGGGAAGCAGAGAGAGACATAAACACAGAGAGCGAGGGGGGATGGGGTGGTGAGGAGGAGCATGGGTGGGGGGTGGACCCTAAACTTTAAGGGCTTAGGGTGAGAAAGTGCTCACAATCACGGAATCACTGCTCCACACCAGGCTATGCGAAGTATCCCTTCTTCCCAAATGCTTTGATCCCAAGGCAAGTTTTTAAAAAGGCAGACTGGAAGGAGACTCCCAGAATTAAAGCACTGGGTAATTATTTTCTGCTTAGAGCTGGTAGTGATTCCTGAGGGAATTGGGAAAAAGGAACCCAAGGGGAGGGATACTGTATCTCTTACCAACAACCACATTTTTAACAGCAAGACATTGAATTTGGATGGAATCACTTTCAAATAATATACACTTTGAGACTCGTCTAAAATGTTCTTGTTACTCTGATCCGCTGCATGGAAAACAGTTTATGACTGCAATCCCACACACATTTACGAGGAAGTAAACTCAACTGAACTTTATGGGGTTTCCTTCTGAACCAATATGCTTAGCATTGCACTAGAGGATTAATCAGAATGTTCTACATTCATAAACATCTATAACCTCATGGAGGTACTGAGAGACCCACAACATTTTATTTATTGCTAAGTTTCCTTTATTATTGGTTAGGAAGGAAAGAAGCTCTTTTCCTTTCCCCTATCAGATGGCATCTGTTTGATTATTGGAAATGCCCTTGGTAATTTGAAACTCTGTGCCTTTTTATATACTTTGGAAAGCTGAATTAGATGTTTAAGAAATCAATAGCATGTTGGCACATTTGTTTCTTTCACTCAAGCTCATTGCTTTTGCTTTTTGGGTTTGGAACCCAACATATGAGGATTTTATTGGGATTTCCATTAAGTCCTCCAACTTGGAGGTTTAGGGACATATGATGCAGAGTAGGAGGTGTACTCCCAGTTCTATATTTCTGCTCAATGGCCTTTTTAGTCCGTCTTGCTGGAGGACCATGGATTGGCAGGGAAGGAGGCTGAAGTGACTTCAGGGTACCTTGTACCCGTGCCCCCTGTCCAGAAGCGCCTTTTTTTATTCCTCACAGATATCACTTTCCCAGCATTGGACAGAAGCTGATGAGTTCCTTCTGATCAGCTGGAAGGGCTTGGAGGAGGGGAGTTGGAGCTCTGATTCCCAGCTCCAAGACTGAAGCCAAGTCTGGGAACCCAAAAAATCCTATGATTGCTCTCTCTGGGATGTAAATAGCACTGTTACCAAACAGAGGTGGACAAAAGAAAGATCTCCAGATCTCAGCTCCCAGGTGCACCCGCAACTGGAGTATTGTGTTCAGTTTTAGGCCCCTCATTACAGGAAGGATATAGCCAGGTTAGAGTCAGTGCTGCGTAGGGCCACAAGGTTGGTGGCCAGTTTGCAGGGGATGCCATATGAGGTAAGACTGAGGGAACTGGGTCTCTTCAGCCTGGAGAAGAGGAGACTCAGAGGGGATATGTTGGCAACATACAGGTATGTGAGGGGATGTCACAGAGAGATGGGTAGAGGCCTGTTCTCCCCTGCAGAGGAAGGCAGGATGCACTCCAACGGAGCAAAGTTCAGAGAGCCAAGGTTTCATTTGGATGCCAGGAAGCACTTCCTGACAGGACCTCAAGGGTATGGAATGGGCTTCCACGGGAGGTGGTTGAGGCCCCATCAGTGAGGGTGTTCAAAGATAGGCTGGACATGCACATGGTGGGCATGTTGTGAATGGAGCCAGCTGGAGCAGACTAGATGGCCCGGGAGGCCCCTTCTGACTTGCTCTGTTTCTATGTTTCTATGTTTCAACTTCTTCCCATGGCCAATGAGCAGGAATGCTGGAATTGAAGGTGCAAAACCTCAGGTGATCCACCCACTTATGTCATGAAACCCGGGAAGCTTCCTTATGCTGAGTTAGGTACCTCTGCTCCACTCAGAATGACCTACTCAGAGTTAAACAACCCAGTGGCCTCCAGTTAGACCACAATCTCCATCACTG